ATTTTAATTTTTATTATAACGGCGCTGAAAATAAAAGTCCCTCCTCCTGACCACCTATCTCTACTCATTCTCTTTTTCTCTCTCCCTCTTTCCCCCCACCCCCCCCCCCCCGCCCCCCACCACCACCACCCTCCTCACACTTTCCCCCACCCCCAAAACCAAATCATCTTAAACTCTTTCTAAAATAAGGCATTGGAACAACTTGGTGTTAAAGGCTTTGTGTCTTGTCTGTGTAAAAAGTGTGACTTCACAGGAAGCCATTGAGAAGTGGTACAAAAATAAGCCATGTTTCTGTAACACAACGCAGCCTGGCGTACGGGAGCTCATGTCTCTCGCTCTCCGTCCCTCGAAAACCCTGTTTCAAACAAAAAAAAGCCACGATATTTCCATCCCAATCCATCGACAGGTGCGAAAATCGTTCCCGGCCTCCCTCGCGTTTACTTTGTATCCAAAACCAAAGCCAACGAAGGCCCTGTGCACCAGGAATTGAGAGGTAGGTTTGTGTGACGGGTTTGTGAATCGAGAGGTAGAGTTAGATTAATTTGCTCCACGAGCTACAGCACTGCAGTGCGATTCTCCTTTAGCTTGTAGACAAGCTGCTATGTATGAGACTTTTCATTGCTTCACTGCATAGTGTAGTGGCTGTGTGTTTCGTAGATAATGAGATAATTTTCCAGAGACATCTAGAAGACATGAAAAGCGCTATATCAAATGCAAGGATTACTATTATTATTATCACTATTATTATTAAGGGGTAATAGTAATTAATAATCCTTGTATTTTATAGAGTGCCTTATCAAGTCTTTGACACGTCTCAAAGCATTTTACAGAATAGAGTGTAAAGTGGATTAACTGTGTATTTTGTAGGCGAAATATAGAGCAAGGGGCAAAGTGGAACTGGATGGAAAGCTCTGTCGGACAGCTGGCCTGGGCACATTAGGCTGAACGGCTTCTTTCTGTGCTATAAAATTCTACTAATAATAATCCTTGCATTTGATATAGCGCTTTTCACGTCGGGAGGACGTCCCAAAGCGCTTCAAAGAACACACTGTAAAGTGAATTGACTGTATATTTGTGGGCGAACGCGGCAGCCAATTGTGCACAGCAATGTCCCACAAACAGTCGTAGATTGAAAATGACCAATTTATTATTATTTTTGGTTTTCTTTTTGGAGGGATTGTTATTAGGCTCTGTGTGGAGTAAGGAAACTTGCCCGAGGTTTCACCCTCTGCCGGGAATTGGACTCAGGTCTCTCACTTGCAGAGCGAGTGCTCTAACCACTGAGCTACAGAACTCCACTATTCTGTTAAGTGTCTGAGAAAGCAAACAGACTGGTATTCAAGATTGGGACTGCTCTGAACTGGTAGTGTGAAGCTTCTCTTGCTTTCTGTCCTGTGACAAAAAGCCTGGGTTTATCTTCGTATCTCTCTGTATATATTTACACCTCGCCCTTCGTGCAAGAGAGAATTGGCACTGAGTTGTCTGTCTGTTGCAATGCAACATTAAACGAGGTCCCATATTAAAATGAAACACAAAGCGAGGCTTTCAGCCTCTACAAGGGATGGACATGAGTCTGAGTTTAGGCTTTGGGATCTTTATTTCGGGGGGGCGTGGGGTGTGGGGGAATCTTTAGCAAACTGAGAGCTGTCAAGTCGTGAATGAGGCCAAGGGTTGGGTGTGTGTGTGTGTGTTGGACGTAGGTTGGTGAGTTGGAGGTAAGACTATAAATATTGATTTTGCTCAAAATCAGGTCAGGGAAAGAGAAAAAATGATATTTATACGGCAGCTTTCAGGTCAGGAGGGCACCGGAGAGGGGCAAAGGTGGGGGTTGGGGAGGAAAGATGGTCAAAAGCGTAGTCAACGGGGTACGTCTTGAGACGGGATGCTTGAGTTGTACACAGGGATGTGTCAGGGTATCCATTAGGACCGATTTGATGGTGTGAACAGCCTCGTTCTGCATCGTAACTTTCTATAGACCCGTTAAGTCAGGATAGAAACTAGATAGTCACCCGACAGAAATTTCGAGCTCTGCTCTGTGTGTGTGTGTGTGTGTGTGTGTTTATTTTCTCTGGTTCAAACACATTTAAAGAAAAGTTAAAATAATGCGTAAAAATGCTTCACTCGCAGCCCCCTCTGGCAGGAAGACACTGGCCAGAGAGGTTGGGGTTACGGCACTTCAAAACCAACTTAAAGGATAGTGAGAGCTTTGAGCTTGCTGCACTGTCGGAGGTGTCATCCTTTCGATGCGACGTTAAACCTCACTCCTCGCCCGCGCCCTGTTCAGTCAGGCGTTAAAGATTCCCGAGGCCCTATCAGGAAAAGAGAAGGGAGACAATTCCCGAAGCCCACCCCACCCCCCAACCCCCCCACCCCCCCTTCCCCCCCCACCCCCCTCCCTCCCTCCCTCCAGATATAATCAGTCATTGATTTCACGGCTATTTGTAGCTCATCGCTTTGCACAAATTGGCTGCTGCGCTCGCCGACAAAACACACAGTCGCTACACATCACAGTGAAGCTGTGTGAAGAGCTACGAGGTGTTTTTTTTAAGGAGCTGTAAAAGATCCAGGATTATTATAATTGTTGGGTTGCGGTGACTCAAGTAAGAAAAGTTAGGGCTGAGCGTCAACTTTCACAGAGGACTTGGCAGCTCAGCTAATTGACAGGGATCCCGTGTTTAAGGAGCATAAGGACTTCCAGCCTCAGTCGCACGAGATCTTTCAAATAAGGTCGGGTGCTTTTACCATCGCTGCCGGAGTTTAATCCGGTTCAATTCCCGGGCGGTGCGAAACCTTAGGCAAGTTTCCTTACTTCACACACACACATACACCCAGCAGTAAGTAGGAACTCCGGATGTTAGTCGATTGGCCGATCGCTTTCCGGGGATAATAATCCCTTCAAAATAATAATGATTTGGTCGCTCATTCCACGGCTATTTTTGGGACTCCGCTGTGCACAATTGGCTGCCGTGTTTCGCCCACAAAATATGCAGTCGATTCACTTTACAGCGTGTTCTGTGAAGCGCTTTGAGACGTCTCGAAGAGGTGATAAGGCGCTGTGTCAAATGCAAAAATTATTATGATTTAAAACACCGAGTTTCTTCCTCCCGGTTTACATTCATTCCCGATCCCCAAATTTACCCCTAACCCGCTTTGCAAGTGAGAGATCTGAGTTCAATTCCAGACGGGGCCAAACCTTGGGCAAGTTTCCTTACTCCACACAGAGCCTAATAATAATCCCTCCAAAACCAAAAACAATAATAAATTGGTCATTTTCAATCTACAACTGTTTGTGGGACATTGCTGTGCACAATTGGCTGCCGCGTTCGCCCACAAATATACAGTTAATTCACTTTACAGTGTGTTCTGTGAAGCGCTTTGGGACGTCCTCCCGACATGAAAAGCGCTATATCAAATGCAAGGATTATTATTATTATTATAACCCGCCCCCCCCTCCCAGTTCAAATTTATGCAACAAGCAACTACGAGGCGGGCAAACGAACAACTCTGTGCTGTTGTCCGATCAATTATATTTTACGAAGCCCCCAAGTCGTTTTGTTCTGTGTAAATGGGCTTTTCTTTTCTCTCTGCGTGGTTTTTTATTTCGCTTTCCTCGTGTTTTGGCCGTTTTGTTGACCTCTGCACTGCTCGGGTCAAACCGGTCGGGTCGGTCATACGGTTCTCCGTCACTGGCTAGCCTTTTAAGAAACTCAAAATAACCTTAAAGGGAACAATCCAAGCCCCCCCCACCTCCCCGACCCACCACCACCCACCCACGTCGGGGACTTTGAGCTCATCCAGTCTAGGCTGACCCTCCAGTGCCGGGGAAAGAGAGTGCTGTATTGTTGGAGCCGCTGTCCTTTGGATGAGACGTTAAACCTCAATCTTTGCCTCGCTATTTGCCCTGTTGGGAAAAAGAAGGAAGTTTCTCTCTCGCAATGTCCTGGCTGACAATCCCCCTTCCCCGCCCACCCCCCCCAATAAAATCAGTCATTGAATTCGTAGCTGTTTGCAGGACGTTGCTTTGCGCAAATTGGTTGCCGCATTCTCTTACAAAATATCCGGTTGTGGCATTTCACAGATTTAAGATGCTGTAAAAAAAAATCAATAATTATTACAACTATGAAGCATAGTTGACTCACATAAGAAAAGTACATATAAGGTAGGTGTGTAGGGCTTTTGATGGCCTCGCGTAGGGGTAATGAATAAAGTGTGAATGACTGGCTCTGATCACACCTTTGTGCGAAGCACAAAAAACAATTTAATTGGTGCTGCGAGAGAGAGACAAGCTCTTGTTGAGGAGGAATTATGACCCCGAGAACATTCTGTTCAGATCCACCAGCATCAGAGGCCAGGGGAACGAGGGCAAGGTTAAGACCGTGATCGGAAACCATTTGCATAAGCCGTACAGCCGGAAACAGGCCATTCAATTCACTTTACAGTGTGTTCTGTGAAGCCTTTGGGACGTCCTCCCGACGTGAAAAGCACTATATCAAATGCAAGGATTATTATTATTATTATTATTATTCAGCCCAATCAGTCCTTTCCGCTGTCTATAATTCCACAAATGCCTCCGCCTCCCTCCCTCCCTCCCAGACCCTTCTATTCCCCTCTCCCTCATGTGAAGGTCCAGCTTCCTCTTGAATGCGTCCACACTATCTGTTTCCACCACCACGTCAGACAGTGAGTTCCACAATCTCGCTCTCCTCTGCCTGAAATAGTTCCTCTTAAATTCTCTTTTAGATCCCCTGGTCTCCTACCTGTGCAGCAACCCTCACATAAGTCATATCAGTCGGGACCACACACTTAACATGACTTGTGGAAAGTATGAGTTACGTGAAACTCGCAAAGAATATAAACTCCTGAACTGGACCTGGGCAGATGTACGACGTAGACAATTGTACGATTCGTACAGATCGGGTTTACGCGAGTTTTACTGCATTTATAATTTATTGATTCTTTTTTTTTTGACCAAGTTTCTCCGGTTGTTGTTTTCTCCACAGATCGTTGACGAACTTGGCAACGTGAAGAGCTGTGTGGACGCCAGTCAGGCCGGCAGCGGGAACTGGCTCAAATACATCCGCTCAGCCCATTCCTACAGACAGCAGAACCTGGTCGCTTGTCAGATCAATGACCAGGTCAGTTTCCCATAATGGGGGCTGAGGCTGGGGGCTTCAGTGGGCGTGAGGTGTGGGGGGTGTGGGGGGGGGGCTATCATTAGATCTCCCCAACAGATGTGAAGTTACATCATGTGGCTGTCTTTAGTCGCTCCACAATGAGTTACTGTAACCCTCGCTACTATCATTCAACCACCTCAAAGCATTTCACAGGTGAGAGCGTGCATTTGTAGGCAAATGTTGTGGCCATTCTGTCCACAGAACGTGCCAGAAACAGCCCGATAAATTGTATCCAGGGAGATTGTAAGCCAAGACACCAGGAGAAAGGAACTCCCTTCTCTTTCTGAAAGGAACATTGATGGGAAACTGGGTTTCATGTTACATCTGAAAGATGACATCTTACACAATCCAGCAACCACACCCCCCCCCCCCACACACACACACACATACACCCCCCCACACACACAACACCCACACACACACCCCAAGCACACAGCTAAGAGTGTCTATCTGTAGACTGTGACCTCAACCTTCATGATGTTGGCCACAAACCCACGACCTCCTGATTCGGAGGTGAGAGCATGAGCGACCAGGCCAGGGATGCAAACGAACTTGAGGGGAGTCTGCACTTGAGCTGACTGACAGGGGAACCTACTAAGTGACGTGTGGTTTCAGCTCTGACCCAAGGGGCCTTCAAGCAGATGTCTTGGCTCGCAGCGAATGATGCTGTATTTTCCATGCAAGGGGTTGGCATTGGAGAGCTGCAGAGTCCGAGAGAAGTATGCAGTTCCCAGCTGAGCTCTGTGGCCGTTTTAGCTCAAGCAGCGCCTCCTGCTGGTGTGTGAGGGAGAAGGACCTTGACGATTTAGGGCAGGGCTTGAGGCTTGAGAGGAGTCTCTCTGGGGAATGAGAGATTCTCTCCTAGATCACAGTGAGTGAGTGAGCGAGCGAGCGAGCCATCAACACAAGATAATAATAATATATGATCCGAAACCGGTTAGAGAGAGAGAGAGAGATGCAGAGATAGACAGAGAGATACACAAATAGACACAGACAGACAGACAGACAGACAGAGATAGAAAGAGATGCAGAGATAGACAGACACACAGACACACATATATAAACAGATTGATATAGGCAGTCAGACAGACAGACAAATAGATAGATGCAGGGATAGAGAGAGAGGGAGAGAGACAGACAGACTGACTGACTGACTGAGGAACACACAGCAACTCGGCGTGGAGAGAACAAAGTGAGAAGGACAAGCATCCTGACTGTAACTGCTGATAGCAGTAGTTTGATCCACACATTGCACCCGGTGACCTGATATCCACACGGCTTTGATATCCACGATTTTGAGGCTCCTCTCGCTCCCTCCCTGCACAACGTGATGTCACTGGCTCTGCCTCGCTCAGTCAATAGGAGTCTCTTGGCCCGAGGACAATTCCCTTCCTCAAAAGCTCACCGTCGATCCTCGTTGACCCGTCTCGAATAAACCGCTCGGCGATAAAAGGAGCAAAACTCTGCTCTGAGACAAGAGGTTTATGTAACCCAGTGACAGTGATGGATGGAACATCTGCTGCCGACTTGCTGAGGAGCTGGGCACTCTCCAGAGAAAGCGAGGAGCCCTCGAAACCAGGCCAGCTGTTAGCAATGAATGGCTCTGTGTGCACGGACCCTGTCAGCCCACGGTGATTGATAACTTAGCTCCGCTGGTTCCACAGTCTCTCTCACTCTCTCTCGCTCTACACACACACACACACACACACTCTGGAGGTGGACGAGACCTGGGACTGTGACAACATCCTTTGACATCCATTTCAAACGGGGGTTTGACAACAAAGTTACACGGTCACTACACTTTGCAGTGCATTCTGTGAAGCACTTTGAGATGTCTCAACAACGTGATAAGGCGCTGTATCAAATGCTAGGATTGTTATTGTTATTAAGTCTTGGCGGTGATAAGGCTTTATTGGTGGTTGGTCGAGTTGGAGTTGGATTGAGTTGGGGTTGGGTTGAGTTGGGGTTGGGTTGGGTTGAGTTGGGGTTGGGTTGAGTTGGGGTTGGGTTGAGTTGGGTTGGGTTGAGTTGGGGTGGGGTTGGGTTGAGTTGAGTTGAGTTGAGTTGAGTTGAGTTGGGGTTGGGTTGAGTTGGGTTGAGTTGGGGTTGGGTTGAGTTGGGTTGAGTTGGGGTTGGGTTGAGTTGGGTTGAGTTGGGGTTGGGTTGAGTTGGGTTGAGTTGGGGTTGGGTTGAGTTGGGTTGAGTTGGGGTTGGGTTAGCAGGACCATTGAAAGAGGGTAAATCCAAAACAAATCTGCAGAAACACTATTTCAGTGAACGTGTAGTCAATGTATGGAACAGGCTCTCTTGGGAAGCAGAAAGTGTTGATTCTTTCAAAAGCAAATTAGATGGACTTTGTTTAGGATATAATATCTTGGGATACAGTGTATAGTTTGGGACATGACATGTGCAAGCGACTGCCAGGATGGTGGAAGGCGAACTGGATGGACCTTGGTCTTCTTTCGTCCAGCAATTATTGTGTTCTTAAGTTCCAACAGTCATTACACTTTGAATTGATTGTGAAGTGAAGGAGCTTCGATATGTTTTTGCTGCAACGGTTTCTTTAGAGAGTCACCTCTGGGCCAAAGCGGTGAGGGAGCGAAAGAGAGAGAAAGAGAGAGAAACATCTACTAAACGGGGTGGGAGAGAAGCCCTTTCAGTCTGCAAATCACACAGTTAATGTCCAATCTTCAGCTCGATCTCAAATCCCGACATCGACACCTCTGTCTGTAGCCTGGTTTGTTCTCTCCTCACTCGTTAACGCTAAGCTGAGCAGCGAACAGCTTGGCCCGGCTCAGCCTTCATCTGCAACGCTTGCAGTTATTAACTCGCTGCAATCTGGTCACAATGCAGGGATTACGTGTAAGCCACAGCTTTGCTGCTCAGGACTGTAGAGCATTGTTTGCGCTCAGCTCGGAAGATTTCCTCGCCCCCTGATCCTGGCTGGAGCCACCCCTCCACCCACCTACCCCCTCTGGGTGTTTAACTCTCACTGATATGCTGTCTCGAATGGCCTTCTCTGGCTCAGGGCAGCGACAATTCAGGCGCTGGGTACGTGAGCAACCTCAATCCCTTGTGTGACTATCTTGAGTGGGTGCATTATTATTACTACGGATAATAATAATCCTTGCATTTGATACAGCGCCTCAAAGCGCTTCACGGAATGTACTGTAAAGTGAATTGACTGTATATTTGTGGGCGAAATTGAAGATAATTGGCGAAAGAACCAGAGGGGAGAGGAGGAGACTTCTTTTTTTTTAACCCAGAGGGTTGTTACGGTCTGGAACGCGCTGCCTGAAAGGCTGGTGGAAACGAATGCGATAACAGCTTTCAAAACAGAAACATTTGCGGCCTTTCCAGTGGAGGCACGATGGGCCGAATGGCCTCCTTCCGCGCTGTAATATTCTTATGATTCTGTGAAAATGCAAATGCGGGGATTATAATAATCATCTTCTGTAACGTGCAGTTCGCAGCTAAAACAACCTTTCGCTTCGGATTATTTCTGTTCCTGTTTCATTTCCATTTCACGCAGCGCGCGGGGGGGGGGTCAGACTGAGCGACGCCCACTGCCCCTCTGACAAACCACAGTGAAATAATAATAATAATAATAATCCTTGTGTTTGATACAGCGCTTTATCATGTCTTCGAGGGGTCTCAAAGCGCTTCACAGAATATAGAAGGTTGAGGGGTGATCTGACTGAGGTGTTTAAAATGATGAATCGATTCGATAGGCTAGATACGGAGAAACTATTTCCTCTGGTGGGTGGGTGGGGGGATCCAGAATAAGATGGGTGGGTGGGTGGCGGGTGGGGGGCATTATCTTAAAATAGAGCCAGGCTGTTCAGTAGTGAAATCAGATCCAGTGAGATAGCGAGATAGAGTGAGAGAGTCAGATAGAGTGTGGGAGATAAGAGTGAGGGAAGGAGAGAGAGCGAGATTGAGAGAGAGAGAGAGAGAGAGAGCCTGTACCAGGCAGAGTGTCTGGTCTGAAGACACTAACGCCCGTCCCTCAGTGACTCACTGGGAGCTGAGCTCACACAAAGTTCACGATAGTTTTAAAACTGCAGCAGTTTTCTTCGGGCAGCAAGTCAGAGCCACATACTGACCGCTCAGCGCTCACTCTCTCGCTCACTCGCTGCTTCCACATCGTGATGCACAGACAGGTCAGCAACTTCTTATTTTACTCAGAGCCTCTTGAGGAAGGGCGGACAGACATACCCTGTCCTTTTTCCGAATCGCTTTCCGTCCCTGACCCTCCCCATTCACCCTCGTCATGTGTTTCGCCTCCGAGTTTCGTTAGCGCCTGGAGGGTTAACAACGCCCGCTCCACCAACTTTGACTCTCCTGTGCCGGTGGAAAATATTTATTGGATTTTACTTCTTCGCCGCTCCACGGAGTGGGGGGTGGGGGGGGAAGGGGGTGGAAAGGGTCGAAGGAAAAATATTTTTTTAAAGGAACGAATACGTGAGTAGGACTGCTCATTCCTCGAGGAGAGAACCTGTGCCTTTAAGGTGCCAAATGGAGTGGTTCTTGGTCGCAGCCGCAGGGAGTGAATGAGTGAATGAGAAGTGGGGATGGGTAGAGTGGGGAGATGGGGGAGGGCAGTGTGGTTGGGGTGGTGGCGGAGGGGTGGGGGGGAGGTGGGGGGGGGGGCCGCGGGGGAGAGCAGTGTGGTGGGACGGGGGAGTTTCCATTGGTTACATAACCTTTTGTGGTGGGGGGAAGGCGGGGGCGTGGGGGCGGATGTGGGGGGGAGGGGAGGGGTGGGGCGGAGGTGGAGGGACAGGTGAATGACCGAGGTGACAGTGGATGAGGTAGGTTCTGAGCGGAGAGTTTCGGGGTCAGTTCTGCAAGAATTCTTCTCTAAGTATCAAAAACAGTGAAGTTGATATTCAGCTGAAGAAGTTCCCTTTACCTTTTTTTTTCAGAATACCCTCCGATTTATTATTAATAACAATAATAATCCTTGCATTTAACATCGCGGCTTATCACATCCCAAAGCGCTTCACAGAATAGACTGTAAAGTGAACTGACTGTATAACTTGTGGGCGAAACTTTCCGCCACCCCCCCCCACCCCCAAAAAAACACCATCAAACTACTTTTTTTTCAATAAGTCCCAGTGTCTTGGCCTCAACCCTTCCCCCTCTCCCCCAATCCCCGCTCCGAGACGTGGCCCCGTGAAGGGCCCTATGTAAATGCAAGGTGTGGCTGTTGTTGTTGTACCTCTGATTACCTTCCAGATAAAGGAATACTTCCTGGTTTCTCTCCTGAAACTGCCCCTTTTGCAAACTCTAGACCTGGGGACTCTTGTTCTGATAAGCTTATTGCTATCACACAGCCCCAGGCTGGGGGTGGGAGGTGCGGGGGGGGTGTGGTGGGGGGGAGGCAGGGGAGCTAAAGACACTTTCTCTCTCACGCCTATTCTCCGCAGACTGATTTCCACCCGCCCGCCTCGTTATTGTCCGTAAAATACTTGAAACGCGAGCTTGAAAACTTTATTTTAAGAATTTTTCTTTTTGTTTAAACGAGACGAAATCTGTAACTTCTTTCCAAAACGTGATTTTTTTTTCTCTCTTAAAACCACCAAACTTCACGACGAGGGGAGGGAGGGCGGTTTATTTATTTGTTTGTTTGTTTATTTGTTTGTTTGTTTGTTTGTTTACTTCATTGATTTATTTATGATCCGCGCCAGTGATTTCAATTCATTTAACGACATTTATTTCTGATTTTTAGTTCATGTTCGTTCAGATTTCTTTTGGTGGAGTGGATGGGGTGATGGGAGTGGGGGGGTGGGGCGCGGGGTTTAAAAATGAACGGTTCTCTCTCCTGGAGCAGCTGGGGCTGGTTTTAATTGACGTCGTGTGCAACGAGAGTGTTTTTTTCCTTTTAACGTGACCTAAGAAAAGTCACTGTAAAGGCTCTGAGAGCAAAGTTACATTGTACTGGCAGAATAAATGTGCTCAGAGCAGTTAGTGTGCGAAGATGATGCCCTGATTTCCTTGGCAATGTCACCTCCTGGTGCATCTGTTGCAGTACTGCAGACACAGCACCATCTCCGCTCCTTCTCTCTAAAGTCTTACTTTTCAGCGACCCTTTTTATCGAAAAAAAATCATCATTTCTTCAAGACTCTGGAATGGTATCTCGACTATTTGGTCACCCTGTAGTTCCACCGTTTCCCCCCCACCCATGCCACCCACCCCCCCCCCCCCCCCCCCCCCCTCACTTTTATACATTTTGGCACATTTGGCTGAATCCTTCCTGAAAATGTCAGGAACAGTCAGCGAGAGATGCTCCGGAGAGAGCGAGAGATGGGGATGGGAAGGTGGGAGGTGATTGTGAAGGGGATGGGGGTTATATCGATCAAGTCAAGTCATTTCAAGGTGTCACAGTGCCCAAAAAGACAAGGAAGGAGTTGGGAGTGGGGGGAGTGGGGTGGTGGGGTGTGTGGGGGGGGGTGTGTGGGGGAGTGGGGCAAGTTATAATTAAATTAGGAAATATTCACCGCAATCCGATCCCAGATGTCACCGTGTGAGATTCTAATGTAACCCTCAGACACGAAAGAGAAAGAGACTCGTGCTGGTGGTGTGAGAATGTTGTGCCATTAACCTGGGCAAGTTTACAGCGGAAAGCCACGCACCTGCACTGCCGGCTCAATGCCTTTGAATTACAGACAAACCAGCTGCGTTAAGGATAGGGCCAGGGTCACCATGTGTCGGAAGAGAGGGTAAAACTGAGCATCACGCGTACTACGCTAGATTTGTCAGCTAAAGAGTCCAAAACATGTCAGTCAAACTGCTTTTGGGTCATTACAGAGATCAGAGAGAGAGTGAGGGAAAGAGGGAGGGAGTTTCTCCCAGTGTCCAACAATCCTCCCGACACATCTATGTCCTCCCGACGTGAAAGGCGCTGTACAAATGTCATCTTGTATATATTTTGCGTGGCTGCGTGCCTTCAGGACGGAGCTGATCTGTGACGGGCCCTGGTTGGATTCTTGGGATCATTTAAGGCTAAATTCTCATCTCTTTCCCCCCCACCCCTCGCAGATTTACTACAAAGTGATCCGCGAGGTGTATCCCGGGGAAGAGCTGCTGGTGTTCATGAAGGACGGGGTGTATCCTGACGGCACGATGCCACCCAGCCTCGATGGTAAGCCCCTCGCTCCCGGCGGCTTTAACACCTTCAGTACTGGAGAGTCCCACCTCCTTATCCCACCAGAAGTCAGTGAATCACATCCGCAGTGGGGATGAGGGAGTTAGAGTTTGCTCTGATTGCCAACCGGAGGAGCTGAGTCTGACCTCTTATGAGTCTATGTGTGTGGGGGGGGTGGGGGGTGCCTCTGTTCCTCCCTCCCCTTGGCTTGGTGTCGTGCTCCACCACTATCAAGCGCTCTGGGACGCTACCCTGGGTGAGGGGGCGCTGTGTAAATGCAAATTGTTGTTGTGTGTGGTTGTCGGTTGGGGGGGGGGGGGGGCGGCGGCGCGGGAGTCTGCGTGTTAAACCCCAGTAAGGCCCCCCTGATTGCTCCATTAATCTCTTTCCCGCGGGGACCCCCTCCCATTGTCCCTCGTGGGTGAGCGACGAGGGTGGCGAGGCACGCGATCGGCGAGGAAGGAAGGAGAGTGTGGGTGTAGGACAAGGAGGAGAAGGAGGAGGGAGGGAGGGAGGAAAGGAGGAGAAGGAGAGAGACGAAAGCCGATGGCGGCTTGAGCTGGGTGGGGAGAAGTAGGGGTGGGGGGGACGCGGGGGGGTGGCTGGGGGTGTTAGGCCCCTGGCACAGTGATGTGCTCCAGACAGAAGTCGAGGCTGTAAATTGACTGTCGCTCGCTGAGCGGTTGTTTTCCTTGGCATCGGTGTCAGGATGCAGCCTCATAAACTCACTCGGAGCTGCTCCCTTTCTTTAGCTTGAACTGCGCTGCCATAATTTACAATGCTGACTCTGACCGGCCAGTTGCTGTCAGCCAGCGGTGGGAGACTTTCCTGAGCAGCCCAGTTTCTTGCGCAAATAACCTTGACTCTCTTTCTCTCTCTCTCTCTCTCTCTCTTTCTTTTCCCACTTTCCCTTTCTGTCTCTCTGTCTCTCTGTGTCTCTCTGTCTGTCTCTGTCTGTCTGTCTGTCTGTCTGTCTGTCTGTCTCTCACTCTCTCTGCTTCCTTCGCCGCTTCCTCCCCCTCTCTCTCACGGTGTGTCGGGGAATTGTTTCTTCCTCTTCCTCTCCCTCACCCCCGTTTCACCACGTCCTAACCTCATCCCCCACCCCCCACCCCTACCGTCCCACCCCCCCACCCCCATCAACCACCACTCCCCCCCATCGCCCCACTGTACAGAGGACCAGAGGTACCAATGCAACGACTGTGATGAGCTGTTCCGGTCCAAGCTCGCCCTCCGGCGACACCAGAAGTATTCGTGTCACAACGCAGACGCCATCTTCACCGCCATAAACCAGGAGTTCAAGCAGAGTCCGCTGGACGAGCTTCCCCTGCACGAGTGCAAGGACTGCGATCGCATCTTCCCCAACGAGTACAGGTAACGGCGAGGGTGGCGAGAGTGGGTGGAGTGGGGGGGAGGGGGGTGGGGGAGCGTGGAGGGGACGTAACATGTCCCTCCGAGAGGTGTTAACCCCACCCCCTACCTCAATTCCCCCTTCGCCCTCCCCCACCCACCCACCCACCCATCCTTCCTTCCTTCCTTCCTTCCTTCCTCCCTCCTCCCAACAACAGCCCCAAACCCAGGAGAGAGAGAGAGAGAGAGAGAGACGATGATGACACCAATGCCAGGTTTCGCCCATAAAATACACAGTCACTCCACTTTACGGTGTATCTCTCCTGTTCGAAGCTCTGTGAGACGTCTCGATGACGTGATAAGGCGCCGTATATCAAATGCAGGGATTATTATTATTATTATTAAAAACACGTTAAGAGTTTTCCACAGTTTTCGAGGTCGAGACACTGCGGTGGAATCACGCCCAAGACCAGGCGGAATTGTCGGTCCCCGGGACCTCTTTATTTACTGTATAACTTGCTCTGTCGCGCTCTCTTTCTTTGCAGAGGGGAGGGAGTACATTCAGGAGGGTTGGTAAAATTGTGTGTGCGTGTGTGTGGGGGGGGGGGGGTGGGGGGTGGTGGGGGTGGTGAGGGAGAGAGTGGGGGGAGAAGAGAGAGAGAGAGAGAGGATTCCTAACTCCGAGCAAATTTGTTTACAACTGCGCCATTACCACTCTCGGAACACAATCAAAGTTAATTAGCCGCTGTGGGAAGGTATTTGTTGGGTGATAACAGTTCACTGGGTTGCGATGGCAGGACTGATAGTGACTGCACCAGCGGCTGAGAGAAGATAGTATCAACTGTGCTGTTAACAACGGCACAGTTCACATCACTGCCCGAGTGAAACAGCTCGTGGGGTGGGCTGTGGGGGTGCAGGGGGTTGGGGAGGCGAAGGAGAGGGGGCTAATGGAGGGAAAGGAGAAGTAAATTACTTCGCTGATCACAGCAGCAACAACTTGGGTTCACATAGCGTCCCTCAGGCAGGGCAGGTTCCTAGAGCATTACGCACACGCTCATGCCCAACGCTGGAATCAGTTCATCTCCTCGCTCGTTCCCTGATTTGCCGATATATAACAGGAGAAGTAACCCGTTGTTTGAGGCAGCGTTAAGCTCCTCGTCAGGCGGACGTCCCAAAGAGCTTCACGGGAAAATATTATGAACATTTGTAGAGTGTGATGGTTGTTAACGGGTCGATGTTCTGTCTCTCTCCCACCTCTCTCTCTCTCTCTCTCTCTCTCTATCCCTCTCTCCGTGCGTCGTGCAGCCTGGAACAACACATGATAATCCACAGCGAAGAGCGGGAGTACAAATGTGACCAGTGCCCCAAGGCCTTTAACTGGAAATCCAATCTGATCCGTCACCAAATGTCACACGATAGTGGTAAACGCTTTGAGTGTGAAAACTGTGATAAGGTAAGATGCAAGGTAAGAACGGGACCATCCTTTTACTCTCTTGGCAATCGCCAGTACATTAACGGTCGCTCTCTCTCGCTCGCTCGTTCCTTTCTAACTCTTAATTCGCCGCCCAGGTCAATTCAATTTAACTCTCATTTACTTGGGCCCCGAATTAACCACGGACACTTGTATTTATGCAGCGCCTTGCACCTCGGGAGGACGTCCCAAGGCACTGGACAGTGAGGGGTTTGCACCCGAGCCGCGGGTTGGGATCAGAGAGGGGCTGAGGGTGAGGTGGGGCTGCGGGGGCGTTGGAGGAGGGAAGATGGCCGAAGGCCCAGTTGAAGAGGAAGGTCTTGAAATGGGTCTTGAAGGAGGCAAAGGAGGGCGGACAAGGCAGAGGAGAGGCTCTGGGATAGAGTTCTAGAGGGCGGAGGGCAGAAAGGCTGAAGGCCCGAGCACCGATAGTGAGGCGGTGGGGAGTGGGGAGTGGGGCCGGGGGTGGGGGGAACAGGGAGCAAGTCAGTGCCTGGGGCACTGGGGTGGGGGAGAGGACAGGTCGGTATGGAGTTAGCAGGTTCACAGAGGTAGGGAGGAGCAAGACCATGGAGGGCTTTGAAGGTGGGGACGAGGATCTTGTACTCGATCGTCTGGGGGCACGGGGAGAGAGTGAAGCCGGGCGAGGGTGGGTGGTGGCGATCGGTTCACGGAGCTTAATCGAGTTCAAAAGAGGATAACTGTTACTCATCACACACTAATGTTAACTGTTCTTATCGTTGGGGATGGGGGGGGGTGTGGGGAGGGGAAAGGCAGGGGATCAAGGTTAAAAGATGAGCTGTGTTGAGGCTTGATTGGTCTCGCTCTCTCTCTCTGTCTCTCTCACTCTCCCCTCGCAGGTCTTCACGGACCCCAGTAACCTCCAGAGGCACATCCGATCGCAGCACGTGGGTGCCCGGGCGCACGCTTGCCCCGACTGCGGGAAAACCTTCGCCACCTCCTCAGGCCTGAAGCAGCACAAACACATCCACAGCAGCGTCAAACCCTTCACCTGTGAGTCACTTACGCTTCTCCTTAGTCCCGGCCGGGTCACAGCCCAGGGCACCCCCATTCCCCCACTTCCCCCCTCCCATCCTCCACCCCCACTTCCCCTCTTCCCCTCCCACCCCCCCACCCCCAACATTGGCGGAGATGCCGTCCCTTAAACAAGACGTTAAACCCCAAGAGAAATCGTCTGAGACTAGTCAAGTGCACTCTCCCAGGCAATGGGTTCCGAGCCCCGAATTGGGGGACGTTGAGCTCACGGTGTGAGGGGGGGGTGGTGGAGGGGATGGGGGTAGTGAGGGGGGGGTGGGAGGGAGGATGAGCGCCGTATTTTCGGAGGCTCAGTCTTTCAGTTGAGACCTGCAGTGCTCCTCACTATAAATAGCCGCAGCATTTGACACCATGAAATAATCGCTGCAGGTGACGGAAGTGACTGTAATGTGCTTTGAGATGTTTGGCCATTTCAGGCGCTTTAGAGAGCAAATTATTTGGCAATTTTCACACGGAGCTGATGGTCCTTTTATGTCCGGTCCCTTTTTAGTCTTTCTTTAAGATTCATTTCTCTCCTACCTTCCGTTATTCCCCCTCCTTTCTTCTCTCCCTGTCTACCTCTTCCCCCCGTCTCTCTCTCCTCTCTCCTTCCCTCCCTCCCTCCCTCGGTCCCTCTCGCCATCTCTCCTCTCTCCACCCTTTACCCCCTCCCTCCCATTCTCAATGTTTCCTGTGGAGGGGGTGGGGGATGGGGGCTTTATATAAAAGAAAATGCAGAAAAATGGCTTCAAAATGAAGACGGAAATTCACGTACAAAGTTTCCATGTTATAAAACTCTTAAGAAAAAGTCTGAGTCTAGACCCAGGTCAGAAGGGGTGGGGAGGGGGGGGGGGTGGGTAGGGAGTGTGGGGGGGTTAGGGAAGGAGTGAAGTGGGGGCAAGATTTCCAGCTTCGCTTAGCTGGTTAGTACAGCGTAAGAAAATTCGGGGTTTACTTTTCCCCCCGCCTCTCTCCCTCACTCCCCCAGCTCCTGCCCAACCCACCCCAGTTTTTAAATAAATTCCCCCAACACCCCACCCCCTTCCCCCCCCCCCGCAAATAAATCGAGCTGATTTCATGCTCGTCAAAGCGACGCAAAGGGGAAATGTCGGAACCTTTTTCCCACATAAGGGGAAACTTCGAATCTCTGTCGGGATTCAACACTCCCAGGTCAGTATCAATCCGCCAAATCAAATTGGTCACTCGCTCCATGGCTGTTTGTGGGACATACACAGTCACTCCACTTTACAGTATGTCCTGTGAAGCGCTTTGAGACGTCTCAACGACGTGATGAGGCACTGTATCAAATGCAACGAATATTCTTCTTCTTATCAACTGATCATTCACTTCGCGGCTGCTTGTGGGACATTGCCCCGCACAAAGGTTACCACATCTGCCGATAGATTACACAGTCACTACATTTGACAGCAATTACCCTTGGAGGGCTTTGAGATGTTATGATGTTGTAGGCGTTGTACGATCCAAGGATCATTATATATTATTATTATTTATTATTATATTATTATTACGGGGTCTGGGCAAAAAGGGCAACTGAGCTCCATTCAACAACTGCTGACAAACTGAGAGGTCACTCAACCATTAGTGTTCGTTATTTGCGTGCGTGAGCGTCCGTGTCTGTGTGTGTGTGTGTGTGTGCGTGAGCGCGTGTCTGAGCGTGTAGGCGCCCATGCACGCCCGTGCATGTGTGTAAATGCGCGCGTGTGTGGAACTGAGCAAAGTGAGCGGGTTTAGGTTCCTTGTACTCTCTCTCTCTCTCTCTCTCTCTTGGAGGCCGGCGTGCAGATTAGGCCGAGTTGTTAGCCAGAGGCTGTGCAGCTGAACGCTGGTGGAGGTTAATGTGGGAGAGAGTCAAAGACACTTTGGGACAGTATTTAGATGTGATTTGCACTTCCTGTCTTGAAGCCCACGGGGCTACCATCGGACTGAGTTGCAGCGATTCAAGATCGAAGCCTAAATGTGTCAGTTATTCCCATCCCAAAGGGAATTAAGTGAAGCCTTCAGGATTCCTCTTGGATCAGCTTCCCTAGGCAATACACCCAAACCCCATCCTCTGCTCCAACACCCCCCCCAGCACTCCCCCCCCACCTACCCCCTCACACCACCCCTTCCTCACCTTCTGTTATAATGAGAGCAGGGAGCTTAGCAGAGCAGGCAGTGAGGGTTGGTGTGAGACTGAATTTTAGGGCATTAAAGGGAGTGAGGGTGACGGGATGCTTGTGAGATCTTCTGGACCCATTTTTAGCAATTTAATGGCTGTTCCCTCGCTGGCTTGTTTGCCCTGACAGTGCTGGAGTGTTTTTTGAGGTCAGCCACGTGTCTGACTTACACGGAAATCCATCGCCATGCTTATCCGAACCAGAGGGAGAGTTCCACATACGTATTGCCACCTACACATGGAAATTTCCCCTTGTCTGAAATGCAATGTGCACTCTCTCTCTCTTTGTCCCCCACTCTCTCTCTCTCGGTGGAGGGGACTTACCTTGCTTACCTAATCCTAGAGAGTATTAGGCACAGGTTTGGCGAGAGGCAAGGCTTGGTGGGGTGGGATGGGATAGGGAGGGAAGGTGCAGAGCCTTGCAGGAGCCTCAGCTCAGTTCTTGTTTGCGTTCAGAGGTCCCAACACAGAGGCAGATGCAATAGACAGAGCAAGCCACAGCTGGAGAAGCTTCTCTATGTTTTTTTTGTAGAGGGAAGGGTGTCGGCAGGGGCAAGAGACACACATTCTCCGATGATTCAGTGAGGACAGAGCCTGGGGAACCCTCCACAGTCTTAAAAAGTCCCCTCCTCTGGGCGACCAAAGACTATAAATATAAATAATCTCACGAGGCAGCTTTGTAGATCCCAACGAACTGCGCCTTTTCTGTTGTGAGCTCCAGCCATGTCGCAAGCTGATTCGGACGGTACTTAGAGTAAGTTAGTGCGAGAGTGAAGCTTTTAGAAGTGGATTCTTGTATTGTAATTGTATTTATCTGTATGATATTGACAGATAGGAGGCAGGGACAAGCGTGGACACAGAGCAATGGTAAGAAACCTTTCTTTGTATAGTTGTTCAAGCCTAGGACTGCTTTGTATCATCCACAATCAATTGTTATGGCGAGATATTTCACTACACGGTTTAAGCCCAGGTCAGGTCCAGGGATTAATGTGGGAGGGGAAAGGGTCACTTTTTTTTCTCGAATACCCTTTAATTCAATCAAGGCAAGTCTGCGATTCGGGAACAAGTTCAGAAAAGGGAGTGATTTTCTTAGCCCTTTCTTTCCGACCTACACAACTCGTTGTGAAGAAATACTTCCTGGCGTCCGTCCGAAAATTAACCAAAGCCCCCTCCTCCCCGCCCGCACCTCAAACCCTTCACCTCTTTGTCCTGCCGCCTTGCTCTGAGTAACTGAATGGGTGAAGGACGTGAGTACATAGAACACCCCACATCGTTATGTTAAGACTGATTATTGATTAGGGATGTGCCGAGGTTAGGGTGTATTTGATTTCCTTAGTGACTGTCTAAGGGCTCATGTGATTGCAAAGCTTTAGTGACTGTGTGATGGTGAGTGACCTATCAGTTTTACCCCAGCTCTGAGCAGGGTGGTGTTATACGTGGCAGGGGTTAGACGATAGCCAACAAGTGACTATTTCTTTCTTCTGTTGCACCTCTCTGTTCCTCACGGAGCCCAGTGACTGGGAACAGAGTTGCACTTGCTGAGCGGTGCAGTCTGCTCAATGGTCGGTCCAAGTGGGGCACAGACACACACACATTGACACACAAGGACACACACACACATAGTCGCCCACAGCACTCCACTCACTAACTGGTATCAAGGCCCACAGTGGAGCTGAATGGACTGTCCTCCTCATCAACATTGAACTCACTGAGCTTGCGATGAGCAGAATTAAATTACACCCATGGCCGTTCACACTTATACAGCCTCCTTCGACCCAGGCTGAACATCTCGAAGCACTTCACAGAGGCGAGAGCAGGGAGGAGGGTTGACTAAAATAGTCAACGCGGTCAAAGAGGCAGGTTTTTAAGAGGGTTTTGAAGGCAGGCAGGAAGCGAACAATAAAGGGGGGGGTGAAGGGATTTGGGGAAAGAGTCCCAGAGAGGGTGAGGTGGGAGGGGGGAGCGGGGTGGTCTATTTGCTGAAAGCTCGGCCAAAGATAGAGCAGTATTGGAAGAATGGATGGTGGGGGAATTGGGAGAATTGGGGTGGGTTGGAGTGGGGGAGACAGTCGAGAGAATCATGCTGGAAGGACTGGGGCTAAGAACATAAGACTTGCTAGACGAAAGAAGACTAAGGTCCACCCAGTTCGCCTTCCACCATCTCCCAAACTATGTATCATGTCCCATGATTATTATTATTATTGCCTAAAAAAAAATCAAATCAATTTTTTCTTTTGAAACAAATGGGTTCAAGTTGCGATTGCCGTGTTGGTGTAGACGGTGGAGGAGATCTTTACCCTGTTCCTGTTTCTCCTTGTGTCTCCATCGCAGGCGAAGTCTGCCACAAATCCTACACCCAGTTCTCCAACCTTTGCCGGCACAAACGCATGCACGCAGACTGCAGGACCCAGATCAAATGCAAAGACTGTGGCCAAATGTTCAGCACCACCTCCTCGCTCAACAAACACCGGCGCTTCTGCGAGGGCAAGAACCATTACAGCCCAGGAACCATGTTCCCTCAGGGCCTGTCTCTCACCCACAGCCCCTTGCTAGACAAATCCAAGCCCTCGTCTACTCTCAATCACACGCCCTTACCCTTCAGCGATTATTTCCCCTCCCGCCCGCACCCGGCAACCCTGCCTTTCTCCTCTCCCTTCCACGCTCTCGCTCCGGGCTTCCCGAGCCTCTTTCCACCCTCCTTGTACCCTCGCCCCCAGTTGTTGCCAAGCAATCCGCTCCTCAAAAGCTCACTGAACCACGACCTCGATAGGACCCTCCAGAGCCCGCTCGGGACCACCCCGTCCATGTCACAGGGGTCTTCGCTGGTCTCGGTGTTCAACGAGAGGGTAGTCCCTCCTGAGGAGAAGTCCGAGGTGCACTCGGAAAACTCCTACACGGAGAAGGGCAAGGCCAAGGGGAGTGACGTGAGCGAGGGCAGCGACTTCGAGGACGTCAACACCACAAGCGGCACTGACCTGGACACCACCACAGGCACCGGCTCTGACCTGGACAGCGATGTGGAGAGCGACCGGGACAAGAAGAAGGAGAAGGGCGTCCCCACGGCCAAGCCACCGGACAAGCTGGGGCTCCCGCCGGCCAACGCCAACAATGAGAGGTCCTATCTCCCGTTCCAGCATTCCTTCTTCCCGCCACCGGACGAGCAGAACCTGCCCACCGGGGCCACCAACGACTCCATCAAGGCCATTGCCTCCATCGCCGAGAAGTACTTTGGCTCCGGCTTCATGGGGATGCAGGAGAAGAAGATGGCCTCGCTCCCGTACCATTCCATGTTCCCATTCCAGCTGCTCCCCAACTTTCCACATTCCATGTACCCATTCACGGACCGAAACCTCAACCCCAACCTTCTGGTCAAAAACGAACTCAAATCCCCCAGGGAGTTCCAGAAGGTGGTGGGCCCCGAGTCGCCCTTTGACCTCACCACCAAACGGAAAGAGGTCAAGGTTCCCCCGGTTCCTCCCGGCAAACACGTGACGTCCTCCTTCCCCGGGGAAGAGCAGCCTCTGGACCTGAGCATAAGTAACCGGAGCCGGGTCAGTCAGAACGGACCGGGGGAACCTCGCAAAAACCATGTGTTCGGGGAGCGCAAGATCATGATGAGTGACGGGATGCCCAAGATCCCTCACCCACAGACCCTCCATTACGCCAAGCCCTCGCCTTTCTTCATGGATCCCATCTACAGGTATCTGTAGATCCTACAGAACAGTCATTCGCACAATAAATAACCCCCCCCGACTACCTCGGTCCAATGTAACTCTCCAAGGCTCTAGGTTCGAGTGCTCTGGGACCTTATCCTGCGCGAGGGGCTCTATATGAATGCAAATTGTTGTTGTAGGTTCAAATTCTCATGAGGACATAAAGATCCTTCACTATGAAAGGAGGGACGGTGTTGAGTGTCGATAATATTAGCCAATTATTAATATTAAGGAGTTGGAGAGGAGGTGGGGGGGGTAGCCTGGGATGTGGGTGCCCTGGAGTACGTGGTGCCCTGGTGGCGGGGGGGGTGGAGGGGAGGAGGGAGGGGGTTTGCCTTGGAAAAGGGGGGGTTGCCCTAAGGTCAAATAAAATGCCAGCATTTATTCTCAGGTCTTACTCATGGAAATGGCCTCAGGAAGAAAATTGGTGTGGGCGGTGGGATGGCCTGAGTCGTGGATGAGTGCGAAGCACCAAATTTTTTTTTTACAAGTTAAAGGGAGGTGCGGGGAGCCTGGGGGGGAGGGGGGATTTTGGTGATGCTGGGACAAGGAGGTGGTGGTGGTGGTGGTGGGGGTTTGGGTTAGAGACATCGAGGATTTGGACCATCGATTTGATTCCTTGTTCCTTGGATCAGCAGGGTGGAAAAGAGGAAAATGATCGACCCCATGAACTCGGTAAAGGAGAAGTACCTGCGTCCGAACCCCCTTCTCTTCCACCCTCAGGTATGTGTGCCCCCCACTTCCCCTCAAACCACCAACCCCCGAACCCCCGTGTTTCTACATTATTAACAAGCCACGTTTGATCAGGGTTTATTGATTCGATCATATATAGAAGGAACGCTCTTTCCGATCGCTGTTTCTCCCCAGTTTCTAATCTTCCTCACTAACCCCCCACAACCCCCATCCTAACATTCTCCCCCCCTCCACCCCAATCTCCGTCCAGTGTGGGCATCGTCACTGAGCTTGCCTGGCTGACAATTCCTCTCCCCTCACCTCCCCCCTCTCCCCAGCCCTCCAATAAAACTTTTCGTGGGACGTCGCTGTGCGCAAATCGACCGCCGCGTTCACCCACAAAGCTAAATCCGTCATTGAATCGAACAGAAACAGCAAAGGTTCAATTGAACCCAACCGCCTCTTGAAAGCGCTGGAGCCAATCCCCCCCCACCCCACCAGCTCTCCTTCCCCTCTTATCACCCACCCCCCCTCTCCCCCCCACCCCCGCTGCCAGCGCCATTGAATAATGCACCAGCGATTTCGAGGGGGTAGGGCCACGCCAGGTTTCACAGCTAAACTTAGCTGCACTATTGTTTGGCTCTCACAAGCTTATAACTTCCCTCAATTTGAGTCCAGGCCGTCAACTGACCCTACGGCCTGGTCTGGCAGCAACATCCTGTGTTTGTGTGGGTCGGGTGACGTGTGAGGCAGGGAGGGTGGCACAGCCGAGAAAGACGGAAAGTTTGTTATCTGTTTCCCCCACCAGACCCCCCCCTCAGCCTTACCTCACCCCCATCCCCCCACCCCCCCCCCTCACCCACCCCCACCCACTCTCTCAGGCCCCTTCTCTGAAATGTGGGGGTGGGGGTTGCGTGCGTAAGAGCACATCCCGCAACCTGCATTTTTTTCCCTTTCACTTTGTCCCCACTCCGCCCTTCCTCCTGTCTCACAGCGCTTCACAGGGTATACTGTAAAGTGTAGTGACTGTGTATTTTTGTGGACGAAATGTGTGGCAGCCAATATTGCGAGAGTATCAATGACTGAGTTGTGTTTTAAGTTGGGTAGAGAGAAGAGTAGAGTAGAGGAGTTTAAACATAGTCTGTGTTTAGTGGAGTGCGGGGGGAGGTGGGTGGGAGGCCGAGAGGGTGAGAAGGAGGGTGGGGGGGGGTGGGGGTGCGAACAGGAATGAGGAACGAGACGGTGAATTATCAAAAGGTTAGGCTCGGGTTTCCCGTAGTGTCTTTCCAGCAAGGCAGCCGTTTGACCAAATAAAATAAACTTCTAACAATCTTTTGGCACATTTCTCCCCAGAGCGTGTTTAATAGGGCCCCGAACATGCGAAAGGTCTTGGCAAGGTGACTCCTATTTGCGCTGTGAAATATATAGCTGCTTCCTACAACTTTCCTGCGGCTCGGGCTGATGTCATCCTGCAAGGAAATGTTTCACGTATTGTTATTGTGCGAGCCAGCCCCGACTATTCAATTCAAATGCCAATGCTTGGGACTCTGAACAACACTGAAACAATTCTCCTTTCATACACTGGGGGAGGGGCGGGAGTGTGCAGACGGGAATATTCCATTTCCCATTTTGTTTGGTGCTCGCTCCCAACCCCCCCCCCCCCCTCCCCCCCACTCGGCATTCCGACCCACCCTTCACCTTTAATAACGTCTTAATAATGTCTTAATAACGTCTCCCCACTCATTTCCCCTCTGAGGCTTGTCCACCCTCCCCATAGCAGTGAACCTTGTTACTTCTTAATGGGGTGCGGTCTCTCTCTCTCTCTCTCTCTCTCTCTTTCTCTCTCCCCCCCCCCCCCCCCCCCCCCCCTCTCGCTCTCTCTCTCGCTCTCTGTATGATGGACAGTTTCCCCCACCCGATAAGCGTCCTGTCTAACGGAGCTAATTGCACGCAGCCTTTGTCCCCTCAGCAGAATGGCGCTCCATCCACTCGCTGTCAGAACTCTCTCAAAACTCTTATCTCAATTTCCACTTGCTGTATTTTGGAAGAAAGTCAAACAGAGTTGGTTGGTTTCAGCTGCACGTTGGAAAGGATGGACGCGCGTTGTGAATAAAGCAGGTCTTTTGACCGAGGAAAAGGCTGGGCTCTGGGCGAGCTCAGACTCGAGTAACGAGACTGTTCACCCATCAACTCAAACTGCCTCACGAGGAATTGCAAAAGTGTAGTGACTGTTTTTCAGCAGCGTATATAACAATTCTTGCGTTTGATCCTGATGACACGTCTCTCAAAACGCCTTCCGGAACACGTTATAAAGTGGATTGACTGTGTATTTTACGGGGGGAGCGCTCACCGATTGAGCACAGCAGCGACCCCACAAACAAGTCGTGGGTTGTTTTTTTATCCGGAGGGATAATTACCCACCCCTCCGGAAAACGATCCACCAATTGACTAACAACCGGGTTCCTACTTACCGCGAGGTAAACAGAAGCGTGTGGAGTAAGGAAACTTACCTAAGGTTTTGCCCGACAGGGAATCGAACCTGTGTCTTCTCGCTTGCGAGGCAAGTGCTCTAACCGCTGCACTACGGGTTGAGGATTCTCGGCTGGGAAACTGGGAGAAACTCCCTCTTACTCCCACCATGGCATTCGTAGGGTCTCTGGGTGCCCCTCTCCCTCCCCACCAGCCCCCTCCCCAAGGCCCCCTCCCCAAGGCCCCCTCCCTGGTGGCAGGTATGATTGTGGCTCTCTGTTACAGATGGCCGCTATGGAGACCATGACTGAGAAGTTGGAGAGCTTTGGTGCACTGAAGCTGGACCCAATGGGGGTCCTGCAACCCCCTCCCCACCACGCTTTCAACTTCCGATCGCCGCCCTCCGCCCTCTCGGACGCGATCCTGCGGAAAGGAAAGGAGCGCTACACATGCAGGTGAGCGAGGAACAGAGGCGGCTTAAACATCAGGCATGGACGCCATCAGTTATCTCCCCCTCCCCCCATCCATCAGGGAAACGGGGATGAGGCAGGCGACACTTGCAAGCATCACCGTGGGTGGGGGGGTTGCTGTTGGGCAACAGGAAAGCTGATGGAGGAATTCCTGTTCAGGAATGGCTGGAATTCCCAGGACGGGATCGCTGCCGGGTAATTCAAGTGGAATTTTCTGCGGTTTGGGAGTAAGAGTGGGGGAGTGGGGCGAGTTGATACAGGACCGTTGGACCTCCTTCTGTGCTGTAAGATTCCATGAGTCATTGGAGTGTGAGTGTGGGTGAGATCTCCTGTGACTGAGCCCTGGTCGCTGTGACTATTTTACTGTTTCCTCCCGGCAGGTACTGTGGGAAGATATTTCCAAGGTCGGCAAACCTGACCCGGCACCTCAGGACCCACACAGGGGAGCAGCCATACAGGTAGGAAACTCGAGGCTTCAGACACCCCGAATTCCACCCGGCCTTGAGTCCGAGACACCCTCTGCGTCTTACCGTGACAGGCGGAGTGAGGGGAGCGCCGAAAGCGTCTCAGATAAGAAATGCAACAAGGACATCTTACAATTCTACGGTGCCTTTCACGTCGGGAGGACGCAAGGCACTGATAATAAGATGCAGGAATTTGAAGTGGAGGGTGGGGGGGGGAAGGGGTTAAACGGCGGGTGCGATTGGCGCACGGGGTTAACGGTCGGGCTGGGGAGGCCGTCAAGTGCTGAGGTGGGGGGGGGGGAGCCCAGTAAAGCTTCCCAAAGCTGGAGAGAAAGAGCAGAGAGGTTGCTGTGAGATCTAACCCAACGATTTTACAGACTCATTTCTCTGTTAGAGATTGCAAGTCCCCCGGGAGCAATGCTGCTGCCTTGGCAGGGATATTTCCCCAGGGCGGTGGGGAGGGGGGGGTTGGGGAGGGGAGGGGAGGGGGGGGAGGGTGGTTTGTTGGTGATTAGGTAATTTAGAAACAATTTGCCCTGACAAATTACTCGATCATTTTCCCTGCAACTTTTCAAGTTGACTTGTAGGTAAATATGCAGCAGATTTGGTGAGCGACGGGGAAGGGGGAAGGGGGAAGGGGGAGAGGGGAGCGAGTGGGCCAGCGAATGAGCGGGGGAAGGGGGGAAGTGGGAGCGGGAGGTGGGGGGGGGGCAGGTTTGCTTGAAGGGTGGGTGCAAAAAGACAGAGTGAGGGGTGGTGTGGGTGGGGGGGCAGCGGGGTGGGGTGGAGGGGCGCTCTTTGTTACTGAAACCTTCAGCGGTAGTGAGACTGACGAGTGCGTCTGAGCACTGAAGGATTCCCCCCCACCGCCGCCCTCCCGCAACTGCCCCCCTCCCTCCCTCACCCCACCCCACGACCAACTGGAATTAAACCGTCTGTCCCCCCCCCCCACACCCCCTCACCCCAACCCCTAACCCCCTTAACCGCACGTCCAGACACTCTCTCAGCAAAGCAATTAACAATTCCTCCCCCCACCAGCCCACCCCTAAATTCCCTCGCCCCCACCCCCCCACCCGTGCAACCGAGGCAAAACACTGGGCTCTCTTTTGCCATTAGCAGCTCGCCCCTGACCCATGGTATTCACCGGTCTCCCCAATTAGGGAGCCAGGCATTTTCTTAGGCAGAACTTAAAAGAATTTGTTTGATTATGTAAAACTTCTGATGCTCAGTAAATTTTCCCAGCGCAATTAGCTCTCAGTTACGGCTTGCACTGTTTGTGTAGTGAGCTAAACTGTGTTGTATCAGCTCCATCGATATATCCCCCAGGAGCTGCCCGCGAGCCTGGCCCCTGTATGTTCCATCGCCCGTGAGTTAACCCTTTGAGCAACCGAACCCTTTAGGTTTTTTTTTTTGACTCGTGGCAAGCTGGGCCCACTCAGATTTTCCAGGCTGAGGTGGAGAGATTTTTGTTGGGTCGGTCGCGGGGAGGGGGGGGGGGGGAGGGTATCGAGGGCTATGGGGCTAAGAAAGGGCAGGTGACGGGAGTTGAGGTCCAGATCGGCCGTTATCCAATAGAATGGCAGAACTGGCTCGAGGGGCTGAATGGCCTACTCCTGTTCCTATGCTCTTACGTTCGTAGAACGGTCCACTCTTTTTATCCCCACCTCCCACATGCCCTCTCGTTCCTCCCACACCACCACCCACCCCAACATCTGTCCGTCCGTTCCTTGAATAAAGTCTTTCGCAGTCCTTACTTTGCATCTGTTTTTTTTTTGCGTCTGTTGACTGAATTTAAAATAACAACAAAAATTTGATCACTCAATCCACGACTGTTTGTGGGGACGCTGCTATGGACAATTGACTTCTGCATTTCGCCCACAAAATATACAGTCGATTCACTTTACAGTATATTCTGTGAGGCGCTTCAAATCCAGCGCGAAGAATTGTTATCGTTGATTATTATTATCAAATGTACACACGGATTATTATTTTGTTCCGTTACCGTTACAATCCTCCATTCCATTTCAATTTTTCTCAGGTCCACAAAATTCCACGTCGTCTTATTTTAGTTTGAACGGAATTGTGGAAAAGGCTTCCAAAAATTTCGGCATTAATATTATGCACTGCCCCTCCGTCACCTATGCCCAACTCGAGTCCAAATCCTGACTGTCCAGCACCTTGGGACATCCCCCCCCCCCCCGACGTGAAAGTAAATGTAATTTGTTGTTGTTGTCCTTGAAAAGACATTGGCTTCCAAAGTCAGGCTGGAGTGAAGGCAGCTCATCAAAAACTTGTCAGAGGTGAAGGCCTGGCAGGCTGAGACTGGGTGGAATTTCATCCCCCCTGGGCTTGTGTTTTAATGCTGCGGTTGTTCCTGCTCCTCCCGCCTCTCCCCAGGTGTAAATACTGCGATAGGTCGTTCAGCATCTCGTCCAACCTACAGCGGCACGTCCGAAACATCCACAACAAAGAGAAACCCTTCAAGTGTCATCTCTGCAACCGCTGCTTCGGCCAACAGACCAACCTTGACCGTCACCTCAAGAAGCACGAGAACGAGAGTATTCCAGGTACGCGCCTCCTCTGCCCTGTGGAGTGAGCAACGTTGTGTGTTGTGTCACGCTGGGCGCACTGTGGAATCCCGTAACATGGTGGTTAGTCTCCGCAAGCGTGAGGCCCGGGGTTTGATTCGCTGGTTGGGCAGGACAATACCTAAGGCAGGTTTCCTTCCTCCACGCCCGCGCCTCTGTTTACCCAGCAGTAAGTCAAAAAAATAAACATCACGTAGTCACTCAATCCACGACTGTTTGTGGGGACGTCGCTGTGCGCAGTTGGCTCCCGCGTTTCGTCCACAAAATACGCAGTCAATCCACTTTACAATATATTCTATGAAGGGCTTTGAGACGCCTCGACGAGTGACAAGGCACTCGCTCAAATGCAAGGATTATTATTATTAATATTATTATTAGAAATGCAAACTGTTGCAGCCTTGTAGTAGTTTATTGCTGCCGTCCTCGGTGTTAAACCCGGCTCTTTCGGTCTACTGGGCCTTTGCTTTGAAGGGGATCGAAACCCCTCATGTGGAAATGGCAGCCCCTACGCAAATTGGCTGCCGTGTTTGCCTACAAAACACACACTGCTCTCCGCAATGCCCTGTGAAGCGTTCTGAGACGTCCACGTTTATAACAAGCGATCTGACTTGGGTTCCTCCTCCACCCACCCACCCCCCCCACCCACCCAACTTCCCACCTCCACCCCCGATATCTGCTTCTTTCAGTGAGCCAACACTCCGGGGTCTCATCTAACCACCTGGGCACCAGCGCGTCTTCCCCAAACTCCGAGCCGGACAACAGCGCACTTTTGGAGGAGAAGGAGGACTCGTACTTCTCGGAGATTCGGAATTTCATCGGGAACAACGACTTGAGCAAGGCTTCTGGTTCCAGTGAGAAAAGGTTTGTGGCCGGCATGACCTTCAAACTGCGCTCAGTAGCAAATTGGCTGTTGCGTTTCGCCCACAAAATACAGACAGTTTGAGTGTCCTCTGACGTGAACGGCGCTACTTAATAATAAGGAATATTGTTATTATTCAAAACACTTTGGAGCTTAGATTCTGCACAAACAGTTGGATTTTAATGCATGCTTCGAATGTGTCGGGTTTAAATACGTCCTTAAAATGTCAGACACCCCCCGCCCCCTCCCCATCCCCCCCCCCCCCCCCCACCACCCCAAGCCCTGCTCTGCCTCTCCATCATCACCCATCATCCACTACCCTCTCCTCCCTCCCCTCCCTGTCCTTTCCGGCTCTGTGTTAACTCAAGATTTAAGAGCGCAGAACCAGGCGGAATGAGGTTTACCTTTCACCCGCAATTTAGTTGTCAGGTCTCGCTCACAAGCATCACAGACATTCCCTTGCGTAAAGGGCTGATGTTCATCTGAGAAATTCCTGCCCACTGAAGACAGCCAAGAAGTAAACAATGCTGTATTGGAGTCAGATTGGTTACCTAACTGAAATTGACTGTGTATACACGTACAGTAAATATATATCAATATTAATATATTGATGTGAAGTGCTGCCCATCAAACACTGATTCACCTCCAAGCCACGTGGATGGAGAGAACACGGAGGGAACCTAAAAAAAATTTTTTTAGTGCTATTTGTTTTGATTTCTTCTGTTCTGTTCAGGGTCTTTTTTCTTTTCCTCTCCCCCCACCACCACCAACCCCCACCCACCCCCCCCCCACCCCCCCTTCAGACCCGTTCCTGCCAGACTCTTGCAACGCTAACAAATGACTTCATCACAGAATCAATTACTGTCACGTCGCTCGCCATAATCTGGCTTGCAGACGGAACCCGCCCGCTCACACACACACACACACACACACACTCGTACGCTCACTCACACAGACACACATACAAACTCACTCCCCGGGGACATGTTCTTTCCGTTTATCAGTGGTACTTTTCTTTTAATATATAATTCTTAGAACAGATGTTGGACTTAAGGGTGAAGGGAGAACGTCACGTCACCGTGTACTGGTCCCAGTGTAGAGCAGAGGGGTTGGAGGGCGGGGGGCGCGGGTTAGGACAGGGGTGAGAGGTGAGGGAGTGTTGTGTTGTCAGAGCTTTTGGCTGAGATGTTAAACTGAGCTCCCACGTCTCGTGTGTCACCAAGAGAACTGCGGGCGCGCAATGAACGCTGACCCATCAGTTGTCAACACTGACCATCAAAGCCTCGTCTCTTCCCCGTTTTACTGAATCGGCAATCGGGTACCGGTCACTGGGCACCGATTCTGCTCCGATGTGCCTTTTAACGACTAGTCGGGGGAGAACACAAGGTGCGGGAAGCAAAGGTCTACTTGTCATGGGATCTGTTTAAGGAAAATAAATGACGTTTCGTCATTGGAAAAAGGGTCGGACCCTCAAAAGATGCCGTCTGCGCCGCCCTCCGGCGGCGGCGGCTGAGTACTGCAGCTGCCCAGCACCAGAGCAAAGCAAACCGCGACTCGAGCCCAGTTACAGGGGTCGATCGGAAAGAGAAGAGAGTTTGTCTCTCGACAAACCGCCTCACCACCCCCCACACCCCGCCATCCCCCCCTCCCCCCGCACCACTGGATAATGTTGGTGGTTCACCTCATGGCTGTTTGCAGGAGGTACCTCGAGATGTCATCCCAATGCTGGGAAAGGCGTAGTACAAGATGCAAGAATTATTATTACAACTTACATCTCTCTCTTTCTTCCTCTCTCCCTTCCCTGCCCCACTCTTTCTCTCTCTCTTTCTCTCTCTCGCTCACTCTCTCACGCCTCCAGTTTTGTTCCCAGACAAGAGAGCAAATGACCCTTTTCCTGCTGCAAGGCGAGATGGGTTGGCTGGCTGTAACAGGCACAGGTCCCCAGGCAACAGAGGGGTTTACTTAGGCACATGAAAGAACACCAACATCTCCCAGTAGAGGACAAAATGAAAGTTGTTGTGTGCGTAAGAGCTGCTTAGCACACCCCAGCCTGTGCGAGAGACCAGAGCTGCCATTAAACTATACGACATTTGCCTCGAAGCGTTTAACAATTCATCTCCCAGCGCTGAGAAACAGGGCAAGGAGGACGTTTAAATCTTTCATTTAAATTAAAATAGCCGTGGTGAACAGAGGGAGAGAGAGAGAGAGGGAAGAGAGAGGGAGTGAAGCAAAGAGAAAGAGAGATTGAGAGAAAGAGAGAGAAAGTCGAGCTGAACGAGAGAAAGAATTGAGCTGATGAACTATTTTCTTTGCGGACAAAAAGAACGCTGGATATGTCTTAAGGAAATGAAGAGAGATTCTATTCTATTGAATCTCTAGTTTGGGCAACATCAGAGTCTGAGCGGAGAGACAGTGAGAGGATTGTTTTTTCGTCCAGCGATCGATTTAAAACATTGATTCAAAATGGGATCAGGCGTGCGCTCAGTGGGAAGGGCAGAGTTTCCTCCGATGGCTCTGTCTACGGAATTGGCTTTATTGGGCGCGAATCCCAACGTACTTGGGACGCGATGGGTAAAGGAAGCCATAGCTGGAGACACCACTCTCTCCTCGGGCTCTCTCTCTAGTACTCGGCCCACCCCTGCCAGCCTACTGTAATCATCCCAGCCAAGCCCAGCCAAGCCAGGCCAACTGTCTCCCCCCCCCCCCTCTGCCCTGCCCAGCCCAGGCCACAGCCTAAGTAAACTCTCCGCAGAGCCCTGAGATCAGGCATTGATGCATGGAGAGGTGAGTGGTGGCTTGGCATGGCAGAAGGAGCCAGTGTTTGGGTTGGCAGGAGATCAAGGTGCAGTGATTCTGGTGGCTTGGGATGTGCTGAGCGCCTGATCAATGCTCCTCTCTGTTTGCAGGCTCAGTGCTGACAGGCACAAGGTGAGCTTTGTAACATTGGCTTCAGTTTTATGGCTCAGAGCTTGTTTATTTACCATACACCTTTGGGGGCGGGTGGGGGGTTGGCGGGGCGTGGGGGGGTGGAGGTTATAGGGTCACAATCCATGTGGCAAGATTGATCTTTTCCTTTACCATTCTGTGAAACATGGTGTTTTCATCTCTCCTTTGCCCCTCACCCTACCTGCTCCCTTACCCATGGGAGATGGGATGGACGAGAGGTATAGGGGCGGGTGGGGGAGGTGCTGGCTCTTGAAATGAGGAATCCATTTAGTCCCAAGTCTTTCTCCCTCCCCACCAATTCCTGTCTGTCCTGTCCCGTCCAGGCCTGAGGCGCAAGTGACCACAAGTCAGCAGCCGGGCCACCCGCTGACCAGCCAGAAGGCCGAGGAGGCGGACGATGAGGAAGAGGAGGAGGAGCTGGAGGAGGAAGATGAAGAGGAGGACGAGAGCCTGACGGAAAAGTCCCAGGACGATCCCGTCTCGCCCAAGGTCGAGGTCAGAGCAGCGTTCAGAGAAACCAAGGAGGAGCTTCCTGCCCCACTGACAATGGGATATGAACATTCCCGCAGGTTTGTCACATTACTGTATGAGTGGGCACCGACCCCTTACACCTCTCCCCCACCCCCCCCACCACCCACATCTCCCCACCCCGCTCACCCCCTTCATGTCTTTATTCACAATAGGGTGGAGGTGGTGGGGAGTGGGGTGGGGGAGTGGAGGGGGGGTTGCACTCTGGTGGATGGGGAAAGAAACATCCTTAAGAATAAAGGGCGGAAAATGTTTCAGGGCCATTTTCTCCCGAAATTGGCCACATTAAGTTCAGATCTAGAGGATTACGTCACGCAGTCTGCAAATTGCTTTGAATAAAGAACCAGCGATGAGTAAAGACGCTTTCTCCAGCTTCACACAGTGTTTAGACCATCGTCCCTCATGCTTGGCTTTGCTTCCCCTCCCTCTCCTCCCTCCTCACTGTGCAGTGTATGTGTGCATAACAGTGAGTGAGTGAGTGTGTGTGTGTGTATATCATGGTGAGCATGTGGCGTGTGTATCCACATGTGTGTATCGGTGCGTTAATGCGTTTTTGTGGGTGTGAATCGGTGTGTGTGTGTATGTCGTTGTGAGCGTGCGTATCAATGTGAGCACGTGTATTGGGTGTGTGTATTGATGTGTGTGTGCGTGTCAGCATGTGTATACACGCGTGTGAGTGTGTGAGTGTGTATATACACCCGCATGTGCGATTTGTGCATGCAAAGCCCGATCTCGCTCGGATTGACTCAAGTTGTGACAAGGTCAGATGGCTAACATGGGGTCACCTTCTCCCCTCCCACCTCCCCCCCCCCCCCCACACCACTCCCGCCCTCCCTGATCACCTGCACAGGTGTATTGCTGAGAATGAAGCTGGCCTGTTGGCTTTGGAGCAGACAGAGCCTTTCACAAAAGGGCTGGACCTGCGCAAGGCAGCAGAGGAGCAGTATCAAGTTAAGGAGGCCGCGATCTTTAACCCAACCTTAGACTCCGAAGCAATAAAAGAGACACTGTACAGGCAGGCTAAAACTCAGGTATGGCAATGCAAGCAAGTTGACTGGGAATGTTGACTGTGTAAATTGTACGTGGGTGGGATGGGTGAGTGATGGAGAGAGATGGTCGCTTGAAATCCTTCCGGACCAGATTTAGTCTTATTTTACAGAGCATTTCAGAAGATCCGGAATTCGGAAAATAATCCTAATAATAATAATAACAATATTAATCCTTGCATTTGATATAGAGTATTATCACGTCTTCGAGACGTCTCAAAGCGCTTCACGAAATATACCGTAAAGTGAACCGACTGTGTATTTTGTGGGCGAAAATGATCGAATCTGATTAACCGAACCTATTTTAACTTCCCCTGAAAGTTTCGTTTTAAGAACCGTGGGAAATTTTGAAAGAAGAGGCTTCAGAGATCAAGGCAGTTATTTGCCAAGTCCTGGGCGCTCCGAAACACAACCTGTAAATAGAATCAAGGTTAGAGCCGGGGTGGAGTTTGTACCCACAGGTGATTGGCAAAGGTTAGAAGCTTGAGGAAGATACGAATTGCTGGACGATGGAAGACTGAGGTCCATCCAGTTTGCCTTCGAGCATCCTGGCGATCGCATGCGCACGTCATGTCCTAAACTATACGCTGTGTTATGACGAGGGTGCCAGATTGGGTCAGATGGTGAGGAGCGAGATCTAAGCTAAAGGGACAGGGAGCCAAGCCGGGGGGAAGCATTTCAGTCAGGCACACGTTTCGCTAAAAAGAAAGCAGTCTATTTGACAGTGAGCTGCTTTCCGCGAGTTAATTAATCAGAAGCCCTCTGAGTGCATCGTCGATCGGGATATCCTCGCTCAGTCTGTGTTCTTCTCCGTTCCCACACTACAAAGGGTTCTGGTCCCCAACCCCACCCTAAGCCCGCCGCCCCCCCCCACCACCCCACCGCCCCTCATCTTGTCTCCTTTCAAGTTAAAAGGGGACCTAACAAAAAGGAGAAAATGTTGAGATGTTTCGAGATGTTTTTCTCATGCAGTCCAGGCTGACCCCATGAGAGAAAAAAAGTGTGCGTGCCTGTGTGGGGGACCGGGGACTGGGTGTGGGGCACAAACAATGCTCAAATTGGCTCCTGCATTCACCTACAAAAATACACAGTCACTACACTTGAAGGAAACTTTGAGACGATTGTTAGTAAGCGTTCCAAGGCTTTACGCCACAAAATTAATGAGAAAATTAACGCTTTTTAAATAATTCTTGTATCTTGATTGTTGCCTTTGAGGGAAAGTGTGTGCTAACGGACCTTTTTTTTTCTTCTCCTTCGTCTTTTTCTTTCCCCTTTTCCCCCTCCAACCCAGGCTTACGCCATGATGCTCTCGCTCTCCGAGAACAATTCCCTTCATCCGTCGTCGCAGAATTCTCTGGACGCTTGGCTGAACATGGCAGGAGGTGCCCAGGAGACTGGCACATTTCACCCAATCAATCATGTATGAAAGAGAGAGAGAAGGAGAGAACGAAAGAGAGAGAGAGGAAGAACACGGAGGAAGAATGCTGCTCCCGACGTATTTGGGGAGGGAGATAGGGGACGGGGCGGGGCGGGAGGGGAGGGGGGCTAAACTGGGATGGGGTGGGGGGCAAATATGGGCTGAAGTCTTGGGCGCAGCTAAGGAAGATTCAAAGATTCTTGTCTGCCAAGCTTAGGAAGGTCGTACATCACTTTCAATCCTGTCTTCACCAGCGATGTGGTTTGGGACCTTGAGTTCCACAAGTAAGGAGAGAACGCGAGAGAGAGAGAGAGAGAGAGAGAGAGAGTAAAAAAATATTTATTCCTGTTCTGATTTTTTTTTGCACAAAGAATATTGTTATTGCAGGAGGTTTGGTTTAGAAAATGTGCTGAGTGTAGCGCAGGGAGGAGAGATTGCTCGCTCTAGTCTCTCTGTGTTTCCCACTGTGCCCTGTTACAGGATAGCAAATCCCCCCCCCCACCACCACCACCCACCCCAACCAACCATCCAACCAACTAACCCCCCCCTCCCTCCCCCAACCAACCCCGTTCTGTTATAATTTTAAATTATCCGCAGAAAAAAGGGAGTAGTGTGGGCGATGGCGAGGCAGGGGGCGAGGAGCTATAATAACTGTGCAGTCAGTGATCACAATAACCTGTATATAAGAGCCGCAATTCTCGCTCCCCCTGACCCCCAACCGCAGCTCCTCCGCAAACCCCCCACCACCACCACCCCGCACCCCCAACCCCCCACCCCAACAACGCCCCAATTCCGTTTTGAAATTGCATTTCTTCTGTAAGAAGCAGTATTGTGTCTTGTGCACTTAGTTGTCATGGCGGGGGGACTGGGGACTGGGGACTGGGGACTGGGGACTGGGGCGGGGGGTGGGTTGTGGGGGGTGGGGGGCGTTGGGGGGTTTGGAGGGGGGAGACTTGAGTTGAAATAAGATGAAGAAGAATTACTGTATTGAAGGGAAGGACCAAAAGTGTGTGTTGATGTTGTACCATAACTGTCCAGTAGGGGGCGTCATTTGTGCCAAATAATAATATGGAGGAGTCTTTCTTGTTAACAATTCTCAGACAATCAGTTTCTTATCCTGTTTTTTTTTTTCCGTGTGTGTATTTGGGGGGAGGAGGCTGGGTGGGGATGGGGGGGGAGGGGAGAGGAAGAATTGTTTAAGCGCGTACAGTTCGTTGAGGATTGCTTCTATATTCTTGCTATTTATGTTTTATTTTTCACGGAGAAAAGGTAACAGAAAGAAAGGGAAGAGAGAGAGAGAGAGAGAGAGAAAGAGAAAGAGAGCGAGAGAAAGTAAGAAAGAACAAAAGAAAGAAAGAAAGAAAGAGTTTCCTTTTGTAACTGCAAAATCTCGCTCAGTTTAACGTCTCGTTTGGAAAGCGCCAAACCTTTTGGAAGAGAGCGGGGGAAGAGGACCAAGAGTATTTTTTTTGACAGGGCTTTCCGTTAAGATCGATGTGGCTGGATTCTGCGGTACAGCTTCCATCTTCCGCAGCAAAAGCTATCCGGGGAGGGTGGATGAACTGTGGTGGCGGCGGGGAGAGGGGGGAAGAGATTCCCCCAGTCCTATTTCCCCGCAACTTCACCCCCTGCTTTAAGCTCCTGTAAATAGTTTTGTGGAGAGTTTAATTTGAGCAACTCAGATTGGCCTCTCGCTTTTATGTTACTTTCCCCCCCTCCACCCAACTCTCCCCTTTAAGCCCCCCTCCTCCTCAACCTCCCTCCGCAAACCCCTCAGCCCTCACCCTCCGCTGTTTGTCTCGAACAATACCCCCCCCCACCACCACCACCAAAAAAATTCCCCAATTTTTCCTGCTCTTGGGCAACTCCCGTCGTGAGATTTTTTTAATAAAAATTTCCCCTCTTGTAAATAAGAGAAAAGTGAGAAAATAATGTCTATTTTGCCCCCTTCCCCCCCCCCCCCCCCCCACCCCACCTTCGGAAGAGAGAGAGAGTACATTCCAGCACTTTGTGTGTGGGTGAGGGTCGGGAATGAGGGATATTTACATATTGTTATAGACATTGTTATATTCCCCCTCCTCCTCGTCTTCCCCCACCCCCCCCCCCCCCAACGCAACCACATTCCGCCCCATGAAGGCTCCCCACAGCTGCTTTGCAACGAACACAGCAATTGATGGGTTTTTTTTTTACCCATAGCATCGAAGTGTCCCAATTGAAATCTACACTCACCAAAACAAAGAGGAGGCCAATCGGCCTCTATCCAAACCTATTTGCAACCTGCGCCCCCCTCCCTTCCCCCCACCCCCATCCCCCTCCTCGCTATGCGCAAACTGGCTGTCGCATTCGCCCACAAATGGCACAGTCACTATACTTTACTGTAAAATCCGGGTGAGGGGGTGTGGGGGTGGGGGGGGGAGAGGAGGGCTGATGTCGGGAAGGGGGAGAAAACATGGGAGCAAGAATAATTGGGAAAAATTCCTTAAGTTTGCAATGGCGTACTCCATCCCCACCATTATCCAAACATCCCCCATTACCAGAGTAGCGACTGCTCCCGCGTGCACTGTAGCCAATGGCAAATGGTTTGAACCAAACCATTTTCGAGTCTGCTGTAGGTAATTGTTTTGTGGGGGGGTGGGAGTGGGGGGGGGTGTGGGTGGGGTGGGCGGGATGGATGAAAGGGAGAGGTGGGGGTAATGCCCATTGGAGCCTGGTGACCTGATTTGACGATTAACTTATTTTCTCACGCATGTTACTGATGATTATGTTAAAACTATGAGCACTTATAAATGTGTGTGCGTGTTCCACAGTGATCTATCTGTATCTCTCCTATTTATTTGACCAGGAAAAGCCTCCCCTCCTCTCTCTCTCTTTCTCCCTTCCCAATACCCTCTCTTCCCATGTTGCCACCTTCTTTGCTCCCCCACCCCATCCTTAACCACTGAAATAATTCAGCCAGGTGCTTTATTGGAAGAAGACCTCTTGTGTATCGATTGCCCTCTCCCTCCGCACGACCGTAAAGAGATGAATGCACTTTTCAGGAACTCATGAGAATCTTCAGTGGGAGTTGGGTTGAGGATCTCTCATGGGACCCGATGGGTTATCAATTCCATTGATACGCTCAACTTTTCAGCGCTCCGAGACCCTGCCCTGCGCGAACGGCGCTATATAAATGCAAGTTGAATCAAATTCAGTGTATTTAAGATATTTTCTTACCCAATTTTGCATGATCTTAAGTTTCGAGGCAAAACAGCCTCACGGGGTTAAGACAAGGGGGAATTTCCAGGAATACCCCTATCTCACATGCCACCCCCTCCCCCACTCTCCCTCCCCCCACATTTGCCCGGTTCCTTGAGAAGGAATCCCGCACGTTGAGGGTTTCAGAAATCCGAGCCACACATTTCCGATCAAGAAATCTGTTTAGAAATAGCGTAAACTAGATACGGACAAGCCACTTGTCAATCTCATATATATATATATCTATATTATTGTTTTACGATGATATGCTGCCATATCAGAACCATTCCCGCTCGGATTTTTTTTTAAACTAGATAAACAAGCGATTCCCTATTTGGGAATACTCGTCTGGCAGGAACAATCCATCCGAGACTCCCTCTGTGCCCTGAGAACGAGTCTGGCCAATGCACTGAGCACAGAGCCACCGGCCACCCACGACACTTCAACATTCTTCGCACTTAATGCTTGTGTTGAGAGACAATTGCCGGTCGGTCAATGGATTAAACCTCACCGCGGTAACGGTGAACTCCAAACCCACTCCCCTTTCGGATTGGTATCGGCCTCCCCTCCCCAGCTTGTCACCGGACACTGCGAATGTAGTGTGAGGTGGTGTCCTGTTTCTCAGCGCGTACCAAGCACCGTAGTCATGTTCCCTACAACCCTGTGATCCCGACCTCCGAGATGCATTTGTCTTCAAATTCTTTCAATCCTGCCCTCGATCCCGTTTTCCTTCAGGCCTTCGGAAAGCAACCGTCTTTTCCGAATCAATCGAGACCAAATTGAGGAATCTTCCGCGCTTTCCTCCCCGATTCCTCCTGAATTTTAAGACGCAGGTGTCTTGTCTCTTCAGCCGAGGTGTAATCTCTCGTGTCTCTTTTTTTTCACTGAGCTCTGCAGGTAACCGTATTCTCAAAGGTTCACGTTCTATTCGGGGAGAGTGGCAGAGAGGAACAGAGGAGGGGAGAGGAAGAGCGAGGGATAGGGGGAGAGGGCAAGCAAGAGAAAAAAGTCTTAGTCCGATTAAACTTGTTTTTCTCAAATAAAAAAATAAGACGTCTCAAACGTGGGGGGAGTGGGATTGAAATCGGGAAGCTCTTTTCGAAGAGATGGCACAGACACGATGGGCTGAAAGGCCACCTTCTGCGCTGTATAATTCTACGGTTCTATGTGTGTGAAAACGATATGAATCCAACTCCAGTTAGACAATCTTGCACCACTTGGGACTCATCCTCCAAACCCCCCACCCCCACCACAACCCTAACATCCAGGCAAGCTTTGCCGCGGAAAAATGTGTGAACCAGCCCAAAGTTAATTTTATAGTACAGGTGAATCTGACTGCCTGACCCGCCTCTTCACTCTTTATTGTCTTAAGTCCTTTGTGGGTGTTTACTCTTAACTTTATAAATTAAAATGTTTTTAAAAAAAAAATCGTTTCAAACAGGCCATTTTTTTATATATATATATATATACACAACAAAAAAAAAGAAAAGCGCTTCGGAAGAGAGAGAAAGAGAGACAGAGAGAGAGGGGGGGGAGAAAGACACACAGAAGCAAAACTCATCGAGACTTAGTGAAGTAAAGCCTTCTTATCTGGGTGTTTTAATGGTGCCCGGTCATTTCAAGTCATTGGGATTGTATAAATCTTACGTTTTAAAAGGAGAGAGAGGAGAAAAAAGTTAAAAAAGAGAAAAAAAATTACGGCAGTGCATGGCTTGTGTTTAGCAGTTGACGTATTTGTGCTGACAATACTGTAGATGCACTTATTTGTATATTTGTGGTTAGATGTCTGAAGTTAAGAGTCTCTTAACTGCCCTGAAACAAGAGGCAGTGTTTTTTTTTGTTAATAAAAGCTGACTAGTTTAACGAAACAAAAAGAAAGAGTTACATGCGCGGAAAATTTAAATTTAATCGTGGAGGGGAGTGGGGTGGGGTTGGGGGTGGGGGGGTGGGGGGGTGGGGGTGAGAAACTGTTTGAGGGGGGAGAGAGAGAGAGAGAGAGAGAGAGAAAACACAAAAAAAAAAGACCTGGAAAGGACGAGTGTAGAAAAAAATAAAGTGAATGATTGACAAAATTTCAGTGCATTACGAAGCCTGTGTTCTGTATTTCATAGAGAATTGAAAATGGGGAATAAATTCCAGCCTGATTCTTATGTTTATGATGTAGAGAGTAGGAATGTATACCAAATGTAATCTTTCAAATGCTACAATGAATTTATACATGAAAGTGATCTGCAATAAACCTGTGTGCTTTTTATATTAAAGAATTCGCTGTGTTTTTCTCCCGACTCTATCCTTTCGCTGCGCTGCGTTAGAGTTCTTTGACTTGTTTGGTCAGCCGGGTGTCTGAACACACGCGGATGTCTGGAGAGAATTAGGCTCAGGTTGGCAAGAGCCAGGGTTTGGGAGACCCCCACAGTGTGCGTTGGGGTAACTGCTGGAGCTTAACCGACTCTCGCTGCATAGCTTGCTGTTGATAGCATCGTCTGGCAAGCTTTTCCACTGCTTGGCCAGCTACGATCACTCTACCCATCAGTGGAATGATCCCTGCCCTGGGAATTAAGAGAGTCTGGGCACTTTTATCAGCCTTCTCTCCATAACCCACCACAGCTGTTAACTGCCCTCTTTATAGAAATATCTGCCAAATCATGATCGCTCGCTGCATCGCATGGCTGTGAGCAAAATTGGCTGCCGCATTTGGCTACCAATACACAGTCGCTATACGTCACAGTAAAACGTCCAGCCCTTTGAGTCACACGCGGACGTGATAAGGCGCTGTAACAAATGTGAGGATTATTGTTATGGTTATTGTTAACAATATCTTGCCCGAAGCATCTAATTTGAAACCTGTTGCCCCTTTAGGGCTCCCCACGCCCTGAAGCAAACAACCTGTACGCATTTTACTCCTATCGTCTTCTCGGAAATCATTAACTAGGCCGGTCGTGCTATATGTTAAGGGGCGGAGCGTTGCAGGAACCTGCTGCAAGGAGGGAGGGAGTTCATTGTTTATTCTGTCAACTTGTCCCCCCTTCCCCCTCCCCGCGCGGTGTGGGTCAGAGTCCATCCACTGCACGCAAGCCTTCACGTAACTTCATGAGCAAATTCAGGCGGGCCTGAAATTCCACCCAGTCTTAGCCTGGGGATGGGTAAGGGGGGGGGGGAAGGGGATGGCTGAAACTTAATGCGGTGGGAAAGCTTGTGGAAAATTTTAAACGAGCCTTGGAAATTCGGACGCCAGGGCTTTAGAAGAATGGCTTGCAAACAAAGAATGGATTTAAGACGTCTTCCACAAATCATCGACACCACCTTAAATATTAAGGCAAGACTTTCTCTCACAAGCAGGGTCGATAGATCTGATACCTTAGCTTTGCGGGTGGGTCGAGGGGTATGGGCGATCGAGTCGGGCGTGGGATTAATGTTTTAAAAAACAAAACAGAATTTGAGACAGAATTTGATCTGTTCCCCCCTCTATATCTCTTGCCCCCTCTCTCCCGTTCCCCCCCCCCCACCCCCACCCACCCCCACCCCCATGTTCCCCCCACCCTGAAGCTCTCACTGAACTGTTTAACGGGGAGAGTGATGTGCTTCTTCCACTTGACAGTAGAGAGCGCTAAAGATTAGCTAAAGGCACAAGATGCAGGACTGGTGAAGACTTGCCTCTTCCAACATGGGGCACACCCATAGGAGTGGCTATTCCTTCTTACAAAAGATACGCTTAGAGAATAAAACACTTGTTGTTCCTTCGGGGAGATGACGTGTAGCTGTGCAGGCCTCGACCACGCAGTCGGAGTCACCAGCCACAGTGTACCCAGTTGCGTTGGAGTCACGCAGAGTTACATAGAGCGATACAGTGCAAAAATGGGCCAATTGCCCCCAACCAGCCCGCCCGCGCCAGCCTTTCCGCTCCACACGAGACCCTCGTGCCAACGTGGCCTCACAGGCTAAGGCCAGGTGGAATTTGGGGGCTTTGTTCAATTCTCAGATCTTTGAGAAAGGTACGGAGTCAATAATAATAATAATAATAACAATAATAATAACAACACCACACGGTTGAGACGTTAAAGGCGGCACAAAGAGCACGACAAATGGAAGTTCTCTCCAGGGGAAGAAGTAAGCCTCTGCGCTGTGGGCTGTGCGGTTGCCGATGCAGCAAGAATTAAGGTACAGGTAAAGGGGGACGGGTACAGGTGAGCCAGGCAGGTATACAGGGGGAGGGAGGGTGGGAGGTGGAGATGGAGGGGGGGGGAGGGCGTGTGGTGGTGGTGAGGGGGAGGGGAAGGGAAGGGGAGGAGGGGGAGGAGGGGAAGGGGAGGAGGCAGCCAAGGTGGGAGGGGTGTACCTGTGCATTGACACACCTGAGCGACGTCAGGGGCAGGTTTGAGTGACAGCCCACAGGAGTTTGCGGAAGTCCAGGCTCAGATTGTGCCAAACTTTTGCAGGAAAGTTTTCCCACGACTCCCAAGTGTTTTTTTTTTTGGTTGGGGGAGTGGGGGTGGGGAAGAGAGAGACAGAGGGTGGAGTAAGGTGAGACAAGGTAAGGTAAGGTGGGGGTATTGGCAGAGAGAGAGCCTTGGACATTGCAGTCACCAGGTGTAGCTCAGGTGAGTGTTTGTCTTACGTTGTGCCATTTAAATTGCTTTGAGTGTGGGGGGGAAGGAGGGAGGGAGGGAGGGGGGGGTGTTGTTGGAAGGTTTCTGATCTCTGATCCCTAAACAGGGAATAAATGTGGGTTTCATTGACTTTATTTGTGCATTTGGACCATCGGATGTGTTGCAAACAAAGAGCAAAGCTCGAACACCAGAGAGAGAGAGAGAGAGAGAAAACTTTATATCGATTTGAATATTATTATTTTATTCCTGACTTATTTATTTCTCTGGGGGGTGGGGTGGGGGGGGGTAACTTTTTTTGTTGGTTGGTGGGTTGGTTGGTTGGTTGTTGATTGGGACGTCCCTCAGGGGTTTGGGAGAGACGTGATTTCGAAAGAGGGGGAGGAAATCGACAAAAGTTCTGGGGAGAGGGCAAAAGTTTTTAAACAACTTTTTTTCTCTCTCTCTTACTTTCTGTTGCTTCCCATCATCGGAAATGAGGGGGAGGGTGGGGGGGGGGTAGAGTGTAAAACACAACACAGTCTGTCTGTGTCATTCATTGGTTATTTTATTATTGATCATATTCTTTGTTAATAATTCTCATTCTTAACAGTAAAACTTCTTATCGTTCAACTTTCCAGAAAGTTTTCAATAGAATAGTAATAGCAATTATTAAAGTAATAATCTTTGCATTTGATACAGCGCCTTATCACGTCTACGAGACGTCTCAAAGCGCTTCGGAGAATAGACTGTAAAGTGAATTGACTGTATATTTCGTGGGCGGAACGTGGGGGGGGGGACAGTTGCGCACAGATTGAACGAATGTGACTGTAGAAATCCCTCCCCGTTACTCTCCCAACAGCAACAACAACAACAAATTGCATTTATATAGTGCCTTACACGTCGAGAGGGCATCCCCGAGGCGCTAAAGTTGCTGAATGATATTTCTGAGTGGGATTGAGGCTGATATATCTTTTTCCTTCTGCCTCCCACCCTCCCCCATCCCCCCCCCACCATCATCCCCGAGCTCTGAGACCCTCTGTGTGGGGGGTGCTATACAAATGCAAGTTGTCTTTGTCGCAATTCCTCAACGAAAGTGAAACAGAGTCAACAGCTCGTATCTCCTTCCTGCCATTGCCTCCTTCAGTTTGCTGACTCCCAGCCACACCTTGCTCAGAAGCCTTGCGTAAGGACCCTGGCGAGCATTTCGAGGGAGTATCCCACCTCTCCACCCCCTCGAGAGTCCAAGCAAGGATATACTTAGCAAATCCGAGGATATCCTGTCAAGCGGAGTGACTGGATATTTTGTGGGTGAATCGCGGCAGCTAATAGAATCTCTTGTGTTGACTCCCTCTCCCACACCCACCCCCCACCCATCTGCCCCACGCTGTCGCACCGCAATCTGAAGGAATGACCCTTACCCCCCCACCCCCCTCGTTCTCACTCGTTCTCTCTCTCTCTTTTCTCCCCAACTCCCACGCTCCGGATTCAGGATACTTGACATTCCGAGCACTAACTCCTCCTATGGCCGGTGACTTTTCCGTGCGCGTGTGGGCGGATGGGTGAAGTGGGGGGGGGGGTGGGGGGGTTGTTGGGGGGAAGAATGGATCTATTTGTGCACGTGGCATTATCTTTGACAGCTGCAGCTTCTGTTACAAGACGAGCGGGGGGCGGTGGGGGGGGTCAAGGCGTGACATTTAGAGACTAAGCAGCGAACTGTGAGATTGCCAGGAGCCGGGATTGGGAGTGATGTGCGCAGGGGTTAAAGGGACCATTCAGTTGTTTTGCTGGGAGTAAGATCTGAGGCCAAATTTCCTGGACGAATTGTTCTCGCAAGCGCTGTGACCTTGCTTTGACGTCCGCAGAGCTGCAATTGATCAAAAAATCCAATGGGATCCTTCTAAAAGGAAGAAACAAACCGTTGAAATGAGGCGTTTAAAAACCCGTCAAGAATAATTTGGTCAATAATAGTGATACTAACCGAAATCTTTGCGTTCGCCTCTCACGTCTCAAAGTGCCTGATGGAATTTCGCTGTAAAGTGTAGACTGTTTTGTCGATGAATGACTCTTCAGGGGTTGGGGGGTGGGGGTGGGGGAGAGGTGATAAAGAGCCCACGACAACTCGAATGGGGGAAAAAGTGAAGGGGAGAAGTTAGAAGTTATCCTTTCTAAAGGATAGAGGGATTAAGGGATATTGGGATAGGGCGGGTAAATGGAATTAGGTTAGAAGATCAACCGTGATCTTACTAAATGGCGGGGCAGGATCAAGGGGTGGAATGGCCTACTGCCTACGTCTTATGGTCTTATGGAGTTTCTCCAGCTCAAAATATCTGTGGGCAACGTCCACCAAAATACGCATTGGCGCTGCGCTCAACAGTAATTTATTATGAAGCTCTGTCAGACGTCTCAATGTGTAAAGGTGCTGTAGGAACATGGCAACGGGAGTAGGTCATTCAGCCCCTCGAGCCTGTTCCACCATTCTATTATAGTGTGTAACCTCTCTCTCTCTCTCTCTCTCTTCCCCACTCCCTCTCCCCACCACTTCCCGCTCTCTCTCTCCCCATCCCGCAGTGTGCCACAGGAGGGAGGGAGGGGAGTGGGGGGGCAACTGATTTGGGGAAAATACAGCAGAGCAAATTGGTAGCCGTTGAGAGGAGAGAGGGCACCACCATGTCCAAACGGTATTCGGACAGTGACTTGGAGAGGAAGCCCCTGTTCCTGGACGAGTCGTTTCAGGAAATCCGGATTACCTCTAGCAGGGAGGGGCCGGGCTCCCAGGATCGTTCCCCGGCGGTGGCGGACATTGGGGCGGTATCTGGCTCCTCGCCCCCCAACAACGGCTCCTCCAGGGTGGTCCTCAGCACAGACAGCCCCGCCGCCATGAAGCTCGGTCAACAACAGATAATCCCCAATAAGTTGGCGGTGGTCAGCAAGCCCAAGGTCCGCGTGCAGCAGGCCAGCACTCTGCCCAGCAGGAAGAACAGCGGGCGGAGGGAGGTGCACAGCATGCCGCCATCCCAGTTCCGCTACGAGGACGGAAAGGACCAGGCAGGCCAGAGCGGCACCTTGTCACGCAACCGACGCAACATGTCCTACAAGGTGGCGACCAGCGGCACCAACGACTTTGGAGACGAGAGGAACTCTTGCACCCTCCCTGCCTCCGTCACAGGCCTCAAGGTGCCCGATCCAGTGGCCGTGCAGCCACCTCGCAGTCCTGGCAGGTCTAAGGTAGGAGCTCGCGGGTGGGTGGGGTGGAGGAGGGTAGAGGGGGGAACAACGGTGTATTTATCCATGTGTTATCCACGTGTTGCAGCTTTGCGGAGTTCCTGTAGCTCAGTGGTCAGAGCACTCGCCTCGCAAGCGAGAGGACCTGGGTTCGATTCCCGGGCGGGGCGAAAAGTTGGGCAAGTTTCCTTACTCCACAGCCCTCTGTTTACCCAGCAGTAAGTAGGAACCCGGTTATCAGTAGATTGGCGGATCGCTTCTCCAGGGGGTGATAAACCCTTCCAAAAAAAAAATAATAATAATTTGTCGCTCAATCCACGACTGCCTGCGGGACGCTGCTGTGCACAATTGAGGATTATTATGATCTATGTCCATCCCCACTCAGTGCTGAGTCACTGACCTCAGCTGGGAAAGAGTTGGGGTTACAATTAGCCTCGGGGCGATGGGGGTTACCAGAGGGGAGGGGATCGGCTCGGTGTCGAGGAGACAATAAAGGGATGTATTTCTGAACTCTCTTCTTGTCCCCTGAGGCGTTCAGTCTATAACACTTCGTATCTTCTCTTCTACAGAGAACAATCGGCAAGAGAAAGATTCAGAAAGGAAGAAGCTCCTTTAAGGATGGTGAGAGGCAATGGGCGTCGGCAGCATCTACGGTGGTGGGTGGTGGGGGGTGGGATTACGGTTGAGATTTAAGTATATTCGGCCTATTTCCACGCATCCAATCTATATTTCATAGACGAAAAGGACGCTTTGGCTAAGACGGGGTGGAACTCAGCACCAGGGATGAGGCACTGACTACCGAAGAAGTATCTCCTCTCCTCCCCCACCCCCCACCACCTCGTTCTCCCCCATCCCTCTCTCTTTACCCCTTCCTTCTGCAACCCCCAGAAGTTATTATACTAAAATAAACCTTACAACCTGTTAAACCGGTAACACAGAATTCAGCGACTCGCACGCTCTCCAAACCCCCTACACCCACCCCACCCACCAGCTACAGTTTTGTGGGTTCAGACGCAATTGAATTGAATATTTCTAATTCCGAAACTCTCTCTCATGATGGAGGGAACGTGTGGCATTCCTCACCACGGCTCCAACTGCTGCCCGTGTCTAGCTATTCCCTCCCCTCTCCCCGCCCCACTCACAGAGCACATCGGCTCCCTACTACAGAGTCTACAAATCCCTTCCCCACCCAAACCCCCCACCCACCACCGGCACCTCCCTACCTCTCCGACCTGCTCTCTCCCCACTCCGCTACCCGCTGCCTCCGCTCGGTTGGCACTGGCCTCCTTGTCCGTCTTCCCCTCCGCTCCGTCATCGGCATCCACGCTTCCAGCCACTCCGCCCCGAAACTCTGGAACTCTCTCCTTCGATCCCTCCACCTTGTTCCCTCCTTCCCCACTTATAGATCAGGACTGAAGACCTTCATCATCTTTACAGTCACCTCCCACCCCGCCCCCCCCCCCACCACCAGCATGAAAGGCCCCATGTAAATGCAAGCTGCTGTTGTTGTATGAGCCCAGCCTCTGTCTCTGGCTCTCTCCGCTGTGTGATCCCCACATTCCCAGCCCTCAGTGCCGCTCTCCCCACAGACCCCCGACTGTACCAGCAGATCTGGGAGCGAGGGCTGGAGATCATTGGCGAGTCCGACGACGACCTTCTGGATGATCCGGTGCCCCCTGGTCCCACCCAACCCGACCAGCGCATTGTGGTGCAGAACTACCGACCGGTGCAAATGACCTGGAGCCAGTTACCACAGGTGAGCCTTGCCACCGTTACATTGTGATATTACATCGTCACTACCGAGCACTCCGGGAAACACCCAGTGACAATAATAATAACATAATCATTTAATAATAATAATCCTTGCATTTGACATAGCACTATTCACGTCTTCTCGACGTCTCAAAGCGCTTCACAGAATAGACTGTATAGTAAATTTGACTGTATATTTGTGGGCCCAACGTGAAAGGCCGCTGTCAAGTTGTTGTTGTTGATCACTTTCCCTTCCACCCCCTCCACTCGGCTGTGGGGATCACTGTTACGAGGCTGTTTTGGCACATCGTTTGTTCCTCCAACAAACTGTCCATCCTAATCCCTCACAAACTTTCCCCTCCCGCTAGTATACTTCCTACTGCATGTACTGATTCAATCCTCTTCAAATTCCTCCCCGCACCCGCCCCCACCCCCCACACACACTCTCCCTCACATTGGCTCAGATGGCAGTCCTTGCTTCTCAGAGTCAGAAAGTTGTGGGTTCGATTTCCTCCCACTTTGAGCTCACACTCCACACAGACACTCAAGCAAAATTCGCTCGTTCGCTCACTTTACGGTTGTTTGTGGCAAATTGGCTGTCGGGTTCACCTACAAAACTCACAGTCGCTACGCTTTTACAGAGAAAATCCTGTGAAGCTCTTCGAGACATCTTCCCAACGTCGGAAGGTGTTGTTTCAAACGTTAAGGATTATTATTATTACAAATGCAGTTACTGCACGTGACAGCAATGACTTTAAAATGTTGCGAGACCTCTCGATGCGATACCGGTTGAGAAAGACCCTCTTTCTTTCTTTGTTTCTCGTCAGGTCCAAGATAAGGGGATCCTGGAAAGTCTGACTGCAGAGGAACGTAAGAGGCAGGAGGTACGAGTGGTGTGGAGAGTGGGTGGGTTGGGGGAAGAGTAAGAGTGGAGCCTTGACATCCAAACCCTTAGCGGGAGTTAGACTGGAACCCAACAGTTGAGTTTTTGTCAGTCTTGCGGTTCTCTGACCGTGAAACTGTACACAGTTCTTTTTTGGGGGGAGGAGGAGAGGTGGGCCGGGGGAATCTTTCTAGACGTGTCTGATGTCTGTGCCCGTCCTGATCACAGGCCATCTTCGAGATCATCGTGTCCGAGTTTTCCTACCAGCACAGCCTGGACGTGCTGATCCGCATGTTCAAGAACTCCCAGGAGCTGCAGAAAACCATGACAACGATCGAGCACCACCATCTCTTCTCCAATATCAGCGACGTTAAGGAAGCCAGCAAACGGTGGGGGGGTTTGCGCTGCAGCTCGCTCCCGCTCAGAGCTCCCTCAGCCCCGTGTCCGAACCTCTTGTCGTTCCCAACCTCAATCGCTGCCCTTAACCCTCGCTCCCACTTTTGCCCATCTTTCAGCCACTGCAAAATACAAATTACCCGAGTTTTCGGCCACCTCGTCCCCAAACTCCGGAACATTCTTCCTCTATCCCTCCGCCTCGCCCTCTTCTTTCCTTCCTTCCTTCCCTCCCTATCTTCAAGTCGCGTCTTAAGACCATCCTCTTCGAGACCTTCCCCACCTCCCCCCGGTTCAACATCGTCCTCCGCAACTGTCTACTGTGGCTCTGGGACGCTACCCTGCGTGAGGGACGCTGGATAAGTGCAAGTTGTTGTTGCTGTTGTCTTCAGATCGCACTTTCCTCTTGTTGTTGAGACTCTCCGGGTGCTGTGTAAATGCGGATGTAGTTGTCTTAGGACTTAGGGAGGGAGGGAGGGAGGGAGGAGTCAGCAGGAACTTGATACACCAGAACATTTTGGGGGGAATTGTATTTTTAGATTTTGTTTAAGGAATTTATTGCGCAAACCGGGAGTGCTGGTTCCTGCGGTTTTCTAAACCTCCATTTGCAACCCCCCTCTCTCCGCGCACCCCATCCTCCCATCTCCCTTCCGCGCCCCCCACCCCGCATTACCTCCGAGGTACCTCCTGTCCCCTTTATACTCCCCAGGAAACTGTGCTGCACTGTCCCAGTGTGTGTGTGTGTGTGTGTGTGTGTGTGTGTGAGAGAGAGCTGTAGATCTAGTTTTGCTTGGCTTGTTGAGGCATGAGTTGTAGCCTTCTGTGTGTCACTTATTGCACCCGTGCCTTTGAGATAAGCTGAGGGTTGAAGGCGTTTTCCTCTCGGCTGTTTGCTTGCTGTACAGAGCAGAGCAGAACATTTCTCTTTCGATCAGGGTTTCCCAGAAACCCCAGGCATTGGCGTCTCTGTGTCCCAGTTTAAACTTGAGTCATCCCTTCTTAGAGGTCTTCGCTCACCCGCTTCACAGGGTTTACTGTACGGTGTAGTGACTGTGTGTCTTGTGGGCGATAAAGGTTCTTCGAGGATCTGGAAGAGAGGCACAAGAGTGACCCTGTGATCAACGACATCAGTGATATCATTGAGTATCACGCCACCAAATGTTTCGAGCCTTACGTGGTTTATTGCTCCAATGAGACGTACCAACAGAAGACCCTCCAGAAACTCCTGTACGTAAATAACTCGGATTTTTATACCATGTCTTACATCGAAGCCTCTCCAGACGCCTTGCAAGTGCAATAATAATAATAATAATTCTCCTAATTGGTATTTCATTGTCAAAATGCATAATATACTGAATTAATATAACGTGGAGTGTAGCTTTTCACAGGGCATTGCTGTAAAGTGTAGTCGTCAGGAGGAGGCAGACATTTTGCCCACAGCAAGGTCCCACAAGTGGCCAATGAAGTGAACCGCCATTTGTATCAGGGGGTGGGGGGGTAGGTCGGTGGGGGGGGGTTGTTGGGCAGGGTAGCGGAAAAAAGAAACTCCCTTTGCTTTTCCGAACTTTAACGTGCACATATTTGTTAGATCAGGGTATTAAGGGCAGGTAATTGGACTTGAGGTACAGATCAGCGATGATCTTATACAATGGCAGAACGGGCTCGAGGGGCTGAATGGCCTTCTCCCGTTCCTATGATCAGGCAAAGAGGGGGAGTTTGATTTGTAATGATTGCAAAATAGCCCCAACCCCTGCACCCTGTCTATTGCCTCTTGTGTCTGTTCGTTCCTCAGCTCCTCCAATGTGACGTTCAAGGAAATTCTGCAACAGATTCAGGTCAAATCCGATTGTGGATCCCTCCCCATCATCTCCTTCCTCATCCTCCCGATGCAAAGAGTGACACGGCTGCCGCTGCTCATGGATGTAGGTCTATATCTCTCTCTCTCTCTCTATCTCTCTCTCTCACCAACCCCAGTCTAAACCACAATAACCCCTGGCGGTGGGGGTGAGAAGCGCAAGTATCTTTTCTTTGGGGGGGGGGGGGGGGGCTGTTGTACTTAGAATCTTTGCATTTGATAACAGCACAGCCTTCCAAGTGCTCTCAAATTCCTCAAACTCCACGCGCCTCTGTTTACCCCGGGAGTAAGTAGGAACCCGGCCGTTAGTCAATTGGCAGATCGCTTTTCCGGGGGGGGGGAGGGGGGTAATAATCCCTTCCAAGAATAATAACAATAATAATAATTTGGTCACTTCAATCCACGGCCGTCTGTGGGGACGCTGCTGTGCGCAATTGGCTGCCGCGTTTCACCCACAAAATACACAGTCAATTCACTTTACGGTATATTCTGTGAAGCGCTTTGAGACGTCTCGAAGACGTGATAAGGCTCTAAGTCAAGTGCAAGGATTACTATTATTATTATTATTATTATTATTACCGACAGAGCCTAACGCTCTGTTGGCCTCCCAGTCACTCTTGTGAACCGTCCCCACCACTTCTTCTTTTTCTTCCAGACCATTTGTCAGAAAACCAATCCTAACGTACCGGAGTATGAATCAGCCACCCGGGCACTCAAAGCCATCAGCAAGGTACGGGCACCACTGCCCACTCCAACCCCCAGCTCGCTCGCTCGCTGTCTTTTTGGTACCCATCTTGTGGCCCCGGTAACGGGGAGTTACACTTGCGGGATGTTTATGAGGGGTGGATGGGGGAAGGGAGACGGAGAATAACTGGTGGAGAAGGCTTGATGGGCTCAATGGCCTCTTGGTCTCGTGTTTCTAAGCTGGAGAGGAAATGGGGGGGGAGAGAGGTGCTGGGTAGGGAGTTGGATGTGGCTGTAAACCCATAACCAGTGCGATGGGGTGAGTGGCGGCACGATATCTGTCTTTCAGTCTCCGCTTCCCCTCCTTCGCCCACCCCCACCCCCACCAACCCACCCCCACCTACCTGGGTACTGGCTGAAGCTCTGATCTCTTGCAGCTGGTTAAGCAATGTAATGAGGGGGCACGGAAAATGGAGAGGATGGAGCAGATGTGCACCATCCAGACACAGCTGGAGTTTGGCAAAATTAAGGTAGTCTCACCTCTCCCTCCCCTCTCTCCCTCGTTCTGTCTCTCCCTGACTCTTGTCTGTGTTCCAATATTTCACACATATCTCTGCGCTCTCTCTCTCTCTCTCTCTCTCTCCCTCATCCCCTCTTCCTCTCTCTCCCTGTCTTTTTCCCCTCTCCCTCCCTCTTTTTTTTCTCCTCTCCCTCCCTCCCTCCCTCCCTCTCTCTCTCTCTCTCTCTCTGTCTCTCTCCCCCTCTGACCGCTGTCTGTGTTCCAGGGTTTTGCTCTTATCTCTGCTTCGCGGTGGCTGAAGAAAAGAGGAGAGCTCTCCGTGCCCTTGGAGGATTCCGGAATATTCCGCAAGGGTTCCGGGAAGCAAAACTACTACCTTTTCCTCTTCAACGATGTGCTAATCGTCACACGGAAACGCAGGTACTCAGGGGGATGAGCTGTGTGTGTATGTGTGTGTATATATAGTTTGTGAGTGTGTGTGTTAATCATCAGGGCTATGGTCTCTGTCGAGCTCAAGGCTCTTACCTCGGAGTTGGGAGGTGTTGGGCTCTTCGGAAGAGACATTAATTGACGAGCTCTCCGAGACCCTGCCTTGCTGAAGGTTGTCATATAAATGCAAGTTGTTGCTGTTGTTGTTAAATTGAGGTCCAGGTCTGGGCCTGTTCTGTGCCTCCTTCACCTCCTCATGTTTTCCGGGTGTGGGAAGGTGAGAGATTGGATTGAGGTTTGGGGGTTGTGCGTGTGTGTGTGTGTGTGTGTGCGTGTGTGTGTGTGTGGTGAGGGATGGAGGAGCCATGTTGTTTTCTGTCTGTGGCAGTGAGGAGAACTACATTGTGCAGAACCACGCCAAGCTGGAGAACGTGCAGGTGGAGGTCGTAGAGACCAACGATTCCCCCAACTCCCCGCCCGGGAAGGCTGCCCTGACCGGGACCCTCCCCCGAGCGCTCCCCAACATCAACCTCTTCAAGATCATCATGACCATCGGCCCTGAAGAGAAGGAACAGATCGTGCTCAATGCTGAGTCACTGTGAGTAAACGGGGGGGGGGTGGGGGAGTGTATGTGTGTCTGAGAGTGAGACGGAGGTTGGCTGTGTGAAGTGGGTTGCGTGACGGAGGGTGTGTGTGACGGAAGGGGGGGAAGGAGTGTGTGTGTGTGTGAAGGACGGTGTGTCGGTGCATCTGTGTGACAGATTGTGTGTGTGTGCGTGTGAGATAGAGTATGTCTGTATAATTAAGATGGAAGGTGTGTGCGTGATGGAGGATATGTGTGTGTGAGAGATGGAGGGTGTGTGTGTGTATGTCTGATGGAGGTTGCCTCTAACTCCAGGAGTGACCGGGCCCGATGGATGGACGGTTTACAGAGCAAGCAACGTCCCGAGAAGGATGACCTGGCCAATAAGGAAGGTAGGGAGTGACTCCGCGCTGGGCCCTGCACTTTCACAGAGCAGTGCGTTTGGGGGAATGGGGTGTGTGATTGATTGGTGGTCGGTGTCTGGTCTGGTGGGTTTGATGACTGACGGTGTCGATTTGGTTTATTTTAACCACAGGTTTGCCGCAGGTGGAGGTGATTAAGGCCTATTGGGCCAAACAGCCGGACGAGCTTTCCCTGCAGTTGGCGGATGTGGTCATCGTTCTCCAGGAAGTTGACGGTAGGTCCTGGCCGGAACGCCACCAGGACGGGGGCACGAGGGGGTGGGGATTGGGAGAACAGGAAACCGTTCCCAATGCCAGCCGAATATCCGTCTGGAAACCACCGCACAGTCACTACACTTCGTGTGTGTGTGTGTGTGTGTGTGTAAAATCCTGAGCGCTGGGTTTCTGCATGTATCAGATACCTCTCTTGACTGGGAAAACAACCGTTTAGATTTATTTGAAGAAATAAACAGCCTAAATCCAACTGCGACGGGTATGGTTGGGATGTGAATTCTTTAAACGTAACGTCAGGTTTTAATCTCACGGCATTTTTTAACAGCACCAATTTTTTTTTTTTTAAAAAGTGAAGAGATTGTGTCTGCGGGTCAGGGTCAGGAGGGCAGCGGTGGGAAGGAATGAAACCAGAACGTGTTTCCTCACAGAGTTAATAGTTGGAAGAGTGGTTGAGGCTGCGACTGTTTTAAGTAATGGGGGGAAGCCACAACGGGAGGGCGGTTGGCCAAGGATTCTGGAGAGATGAGATCAGATGAGCTGAGGGGTCTTTAACAATAACAATAATCCTTGCATTTGATACAGCGCCTTATCAAGTCGTCGTCGAGACGTCTCAAAGCGCCTCACGGGATACACTGTAAAATGAATTGACTGTATATTTTGGAGGTGAAAACTGCCCGAATCTCTCTCTTTCTCTCTCTCTCTCTCTCGCTGTTATCTCGTGAATTGAGTTGCTGTTGCCCTTTCTGTTCCGTGCCAGGCTGGTACCAAGGTGAGAGGATCCGTGATTCTGAGCGTGGCTGGTTCCCCCAGACCTCCGCCAAGGAGATAACTAATCAGGCAGCAGTGCAGAAGAACGTCAAGCGAAAGCAGAGGTTGCGGTTAGAAACGGACGTGTAGGAGCTCGCGATGCCTTGGGGCTGGCAACTGATTTCCCCCCTCCCCCTCCTTCCTCTGGCCCGCCCCCACTTCTTGTAGTTAAAAAGGTGAACCGGCAAGTGGCACCGGGTCACAGTCAAGCGAGTCTGGTCCATTACGGACTTGCAGTGTCAGATTTCCACCTCCGGCCCTGATGGTTATCGTGGTTGCCTTCGGGTGTGTGAGAGCGAGAGAGAGGTCAGCGCTGACTTGTCCAAACTATGTGACTGTGGGGAGTCTCTCCTCTTCCCCACTCCTCCACACACCCCAAATCAAACCCCTTGTTGGTTTAACTTTCATCCCTTGAAGAAATCAACGGCTTCTCGTTACCGGGGAGAAAACATTTTGGCAGGAACATTTCTTTTAAAAGATTTTAAATGTTATAATTATTATTATTGCTTTTTAATGTTTTACGCTTTGGGGGGGGGTGGCGGGTGGTATGCAATGGAATAGGCTTGGTGACTCAGTTGTGGGGGGGGGGTGTGGGGGGGGGTAGAGGAAGGGAGGGAAGAAATGAGGGGCGAGAATGGGGAGTTTTCTCATCGATTAACATTGGGACATCTCTTAATTGATTGAGGTCAAAGTGGAGATTCTTCCTGCAAAACCACACGCCATAGTCCAGTATTAGGGAAAAGGGGATGCTTTTATTTCCTCTTTCTATCGCCCTCCTTCAATATGTACAGTTTACCCTCAATGTATTGTTTTTTGGGGGGTTGGGAGGGGGAAGGGAAACCAATTGGATGTTGCAATATGGCAGTTTCTGCTGGTGATTGCCCACTCTTCAGTGTTTCTGAGATTGGGTTTGAGCCCAAGAACCTGCTGAGTGTATTAGCCTCTTGTGGCATGGCTACAAAGGTCAGGTTGGGGGGGAGAGGGGAGGGGGAAATGAGGCACAAAACGTCCGATGGGTTGTTGACCATCAGGTCAGGCTTGTCAATGAGACTCTGGAGGTGTGGAACATGTCCACGAGCTGGGAGGGGTCATTGTGTCAGGGGTGCAGAGGTGTTCCTTTGTGTTTCGCGCCGCCCTGTCCTTAATGTGAACAAGTAACACTGCAAATCTGTCCGTCAATGTAAAGTTCCGGCCACTGGGAAGCTCGAAGCTGTTTTAGCTCTCACCGTCCACAGGTTCAGCTTCACTTTGTCTCTTAAGTCAGTGACACAAGCCTTCCCCCCCACCCCCCCCCCCCCCACCCCACCCCTCTCTCTTCTCCCAATTTTGGGTGTTTTATCAGTTGTAAAGTGGAACCAATTAGTGGAATGTTGCAATTTTAAGAGATGTTTAAATAAAAGACTTTTACCCAATGAAGACTCACTTTTTTCCTGACCCCCACAGCCTTATGTATGTGTGTGGTGTGAGTGTGTGTGTGTGTTTGGTGTGTGTGTATATCCAGGATGGTGGTGGTCATCAGACAAAGTGGTTTATGTCAGATCCATTTTATTATAGTGTATCAATGTACACAGCAATATAAAGTTTCCCCAGAAAACCACGTGAATACAAAAGCACATTAACACAAATTTTTTTAAAAAAACACAACTGATAACTTATATTCATTCATCACAATAAGACCTCGTGTTTATTAAAAAAGGGGGGGGGGGCACCTGTGTGAGATGTTTTGTTGTTTCCTTACAAATCGAGGGACGAGATCGATGCTTATGATCAGAATAACCTGTCCTACCAACAACTATTACACTGATGGGGGAGAGGAGTGAGTGGGAGAATTTCTCAATTGTCAATTTCTCGAGCACTGCAGGAAGGAGCTATTATTTTTAAACGGTGGGGGTGGGGGTGGGGGAGATCAACGAATCAGGCCCTGTGCCTCTTTTAATTGCAGATCTTTTAACCCTGGGGCTGAGTCCGTGTGTGGATATTTTCCACAAGAGGTAGCTAGCGAGTAACCTATGCCCACTCACACCGCTGCCTGAGATGGGTAACGAGGCGCTTGATAACATGTTAGTCCATCTTAATTTCCAACATGGTGGGTGGGTGCAGGTCTATTTCATTTAAAATTGTCAGGTGTTCAGGCAGGTTGGGGTGGGGGGGTGTGGTCAATGTCAAGTGGGTGGGTCGTAGGAACGGTTAACGACCCTCCTGGTGTTGCCTTGGGGTTAGATTAAGATTACAGCTCAGCCATTTAGGAGTGAAATCAGGAAACATTTTTTCTTACACACAAGAGGTGGTGGAGATTGGGAACTCTCTCTGTCCCACAAGGCTGTGGATTGTGGACGGATCCACTCGAATGTTCAAGACTGAGGTGGACAGATGTTTGTGAGGATGGGGGTACCAAGGGATATGGGACGAAGACGAGGGATTGGAGTTGAGGTACAGCTCAGCCATGATCTTATGGAATGGCGGGACAGGCTCGAGGGGCTGAATGGCCTCCTCCTGTTCCGATAAGCATAGGCACTTTACGACGCTTCCGTGAAGTTAGTGCTGTCTCATAATATCCATCCCCCAGTGGAACATCTCCAACTGCCGGAGGAGGAGTGGCCCCAAATAGGGACTCACTGAATGACAATGGGGACGCTGAGGTTGATGGGGACAGTACGTTTACATGTTGCTTTACAGAGCAATTCAAGAGAGTACGGTATACACGATTTACAGAGATATATATAAAAAAGTCACGGAATTATTGAATTGTCTGGAAAAGTGCAATGGAATTTCTGTGTCGGGTCGTGTTGGGGGGGGGGGGGGGGTGGGGGGGTACAGGACCTGGTGGTGTCGCTGGTGAGACTTCACGCGACGACTGGTTCATTACTGGACATATATACAAAGCATAATTTCTGCACCTTGTGATAATTGCCACATCGCCTGTTTGCAAATGGCCTCCTCTCCTTCTTTTCGGATGGAAATAGTAATTAATAATAATAATAATAATAATAATAATAATTAATAATAATAATAATCCTTGCATTTGATATAGCGCCACATCACGTCCTCGAGACGTGCTGAGTTGCAGAGAGGAGAACAGGCCAGTCTGCCCATCGATGTCAATCCCGGTCAGGAGTGGGGTCCCCGAGTGGATGGGAGGGGAGTGCGAGCGAGTGAGTGAGCGAGCGAGTCTGCAAGAGGGTGAGGGGTGCCCTGGGCTCCTGACCCCCTCCTCTCTCTCTCTCTCTGTCTCTCTCTCTGCCCTTCACGACAAGAGGACATTCCCAAAGCGCTCGACGGGATATAGGGTAAAGTCAAGTGATTCGCAGGCGATTGATCCCAAAGCACTGAGTGGGCCGAAGAGCCCACCTTCTCGTTGAACTCGTGAAGTCTCGACGCCGGACTTTTTTCTCTGCCCGGGGCCGGATTTCCATCACCCGGAGCCCGGATTGATTGACCCACTTACTGGCGTCCGAGCGATTTCTTCTCTGGTGTTTTTAACCGGCTTTTCCATCAAAAAATAATCAAGTCAAAACTCTGACCGTGCCCCACCCCCACCCCACCGCTCCCGCACGAGTGGCCCGTCTGTGAAATGCTTCCCTCCTCCGGTCTCCTCTCTCCCACCCCACCCCCCCACCTCTAACCCCACCCCAAGGTGCGAGTCCTCTTCTCCGCTCCGTGAGTCTTTGTCGTGTGGTTGAGCTCGGAGACGGCAGCTGGCAGTGGGTGAGTGTCTCCGGGTCGGTCAGTGAAGGCTGGCGGGGGTGGGTGGGTGGGGGGGGGGGGAAAAGAGTCTATAAACTCGCGGGAATGTTGCCTCGCGGGAAGTGCTGCTGAGAGTGGCCAGGTCCACCTGGGGATGGAGAGAGAAAGAGAGGGAGAGAGGGTTAGAAAGAGAATCAGAGAGAGAGAGAGGGAGTGAGAAGGAGTGAGAGATGCGGAGAGAGGGAGTGAGAGAGTGTTAAGAGGGAGTGTCAGAGAAAATCGGAGAGAGTAAGAGAGGGAGAGAAAGAGAGTTAGAGGAGAGAGGGAGTGTGAAAGAGAGAGCGAGAGAGAGAGAGAGCGTAAGTAAACGTTGCCGCTCACCCTCCCGGCAGGTGGGTCCGAGGCGCCCGTTGACACAGTGGCAGCGGCCGCTCTGGGGGCTGCACTGGGCACCGGGGGCACATTCACAGGACAGCGAGCAGCCCGGCCCGTAGCGGCTCCCAGCGCACTCTGCGGGTAGACATACAGCATTGACACAGATGCGGGGCGGGGGGTGAGGGGGACACAGACACAGGGCGGGGGGGACACAGACATGGGGCGGGGGGGGGACACAGGGCGGGGGACACACAGACACAGAGCGGGGGTGGGACACAGACGCGGGGCAGGGGGAACACTCACCGACGTCGCATCTGCTGCCGCCTCTCCCGGGAGGGCACAGACAGGTCCCGTTGCCGGGCTGGCACGGGGCTTCGCCCTCGCAGTCACACGCCCTCTCGCACCGCGCTCCGTAGCGGCCCCGCGCACACACTGTGGAGGGCAGGAGAGCATAGGTCAGAGACTCGGCCTCACGGGGTGGGCAGCTGGTGGGGGGGGTGTATGTGGGGGGTGGAGGGCGGGGGTGGCAGGGGTAGGCGGGTGGGGATCGGGGGTGGGGGGGCGGGGGTTGCAGGGGCAGGTATGTGGGGGTCGGAGATAGGTGGGTGGGTGGGGGGGGGGCAAAGGGGAGTTGCTATTCTCTCCAAGACTGATAAGTCGAGCAGTTACCTGTCTCGCAGCGGTCGCCGTGGTAGCCCGGGGCGCACAGGCACTGCCCCGTCACGGGGTGGCAGGTGGCTGCGTTCCTACAGTCGCACGGCTGCTGGCACCTGATCCCGTGCCACCCGGGGGAGCAAACTGCAGAGAACAGGACACAGAGAGAGAGAGAGAGAGTGAGGTCCTGTAAGGTGCTCGCGTAAGGATATTAAAGAGGACGCAAAATCGCAGCTGCCGTGTTTTCCCGGCAAAGTACGGTCACTGCCACATTTTACGGAGCGAATCCCGGCGAATTTTCCCGGCGCTCTCGTTTCGTTCACGTACCGTGTTGACAGGCGGGTCCGTAGTAACCCTCCGGGCACCGGCAGCAGCCGGTCACACGATCGCACGTTCCGTTGTGCTGACACTCACACTCTTCCCGGCAGTCTGCCCCGTACTTCCCGGGAGGACATTCTGAAGGGGGGGGGGGTGGGCAGGAAAAAAAAACTCAGGAGAGTTCCAGGATTTCTGAATTTTTTCCTTATCAAATCGGGAAAGTCTCCCAAGTATTCCACCCCCTCCCCCCAAAAAAATTGTGGCTAAATTGTTAAACTTAGGTTTTCCGCCAATTTTTTTAATGTTAAAACAGCCCCCGTTCGGCGCTGAGCGCACTCGGCACTGGGATCGCCGGGTCAGGCCGCCCGGAATTCCTACCCCTTACGTTTCGGCCGAAACCCCGGTCACCTCACCTTGTTGGCACAGGGGCCCGGTCCAGCCCGGCCCACAGGAGCAAGAGCCGTCCGCGGGATGGCACAAAGCCCCATTCCTGCACTCGCACTTGCTCTGACATCCCGCTCCGTACCTGCCTTTCGGACACGCTGAAGTCAAGAGAGAGAGTCAGAAGGTAAAGGGTGGGTACTCGGCTGTGTGGGGGGGGGGGGGGGAAGGGGAGAACAAAAGCTACAACAAGAACTTGGATTTATATAGTGCCCCTCTCGCTGGATAGCGTTTCAGAGCGCTCAAGAGAGAGAGAGAGAGAGAGAGGCTCAGAGAAAGGCGAGAAACCACAGCGAGACTTGAAGCAGAACGTGAGTTAACGTTTATAAACGTTTGGCCCACAAACACACAGTCACTCCACAGTCAATCCTGCGAAGAGCTTTGAGCTCTTTCAGCGCTATGTCAAATGCAATGATTATTATTACTATTATTATTACCGTGTTGGCACTGGGACCCAACTCTCCCCGGAGAGCAGCTGCACCTTCCGGACACATGATCGCAGGTCGACCCTTCGCCGCAGGAACACACCAGGGCGCAGTCCTTCCCGTAGCGGCCGGCCGGACAGGCTGAAAGGAATCCAGCGCACAGCCAGTTAACCACAAGAACCGTGGAAGGTTACGGGACGGAAGAAGGAAGGCTGCTCGAGGGAGTCCAACCAGTGCGCAAAGCTACTCTCCTACACCAGACCTTATCTAATCACGGACTCAACCTCTACTCCGTCTCCGGGGAAAGTCCAAGAGCACTCGGGTTAGGCCGAGCGAGATCTCCTGACAGGTTATCTCCAACAAAAGCAATCGGACCTGCGTCGAGTCTTGTAAAAATATAATACACCAGATGTCTGTCTGTCTGTGTGTCTGTCTGTCTGTGTGTCTGTCTGTCTGTGTCTGGTATCAACAACGCATGATATTGGGATGGGTGACATTGCAGCACTTGGCCTGTAGGTGGCGCTATTCTCACACAAATGCTAATGCAGTTTCATGCACTGCTCCCACTCGGATCATACAAGAGACCCACCGTCACCTGGAAGCCTTGGACTGTCACCGCACAACCTTCTCCGCCCACGCCTACCGCTGAGCAGAATCAATCTCTATCCACCACGAGAGGGTGATGGGGTGAACGGGGGCCCACGGGACCTGAACCCCGAACCCTTGCGCTCGCTCAGAAATGACCTGGGAACGCCCGACGACGGCCTCTCCAACTTACTCTGGTTACACGTGGCTCCGACGTACCCGGCGGACACTCGCACGTTCCGTCCGAGCCCCGGCACCGGCCTGCGTTCAGGCACCGGCATTCCCGCGCGCAGCTCGAGCCGTACTTCCCGTCCGGGCATCCTGTGCAGGAAGGGAGGAGAAAAGAGAGGCCGAGTGAGCCAACAAGTCACCCGAGAGCAATGGGGTGCACCCGCTCCCAGCACGTTTACAGCCATCCGCAATAATAACCACGACGGAGTCTCGGCGCACTTGACAAGGCTGAGCCTGATGCCGAACCGGGGGGGGGTTTGGGTGGGGGGGGGAGGGAGAAGATGAGAAGGTGACCGTCGGTACAGCTGAAGAGGAAGGTCTTCAAGCGTGACCTGAAAATGGGGAAAGAGGGGCTGAATGAACCGAAATAACAAGCCTCGGCTCTTGCCAGCCTGCGCCCAAACCTTCGGGGATTAGGGGAGCCTTGTGTGTCCGTCCGTCCGTCCCCCTTCCCCGCGCACAGCGCTCTCTGGTCAGTACAGGGCACTCACATCTCTACGCTGCCGCGCTCCTTGCCATGCATCCCTACTCGACAACCACCCATACTCACTCAGGTTACAGCTGTCCCCGTGGTAACCGGGTGCGCAGACGCACTCCCCCGTGACCGGGTGGCACAGCTGGTTCTCAGCGGAGCACTGGCACACCTGGTTACAGTTCTGCCCGTAGGTCCCGGGCAGACAGCCTGAGAGAGAGAGAGAGAGAGACGGGGCAGGTTATGATCATAATAACGATACTCTTACGCGCGGTGATGGGTTCCCGCATGCGTCGGCTGACCCCCTACCCAACCCCACCCCAACACCTCCCCCCACCCCCCCCACCCCCCAAAAAAACAACGCAAATTCAAAGTTCCCGACGTGGGGCTTGAACCTACAAACCTCCGGCTCAGAAGCCAGGGCGCTCTCTTCACCCCCACCTCCCCCCACCGCGCGCCCCCACTCCCGCGTGTACTCACTCTGCTCACAGCCGTTCCCCGCCCGGCCTGGGGGGCAGCCGCACTCGCCCGTCACGTGATTGCAGGGGGTCCCCGGAGAGCAGTTGCACCGTCGCAAGCAGCCGTCGCCGTAGTAGTCGGGTAAACAGGCTGCGGGCGGGGAGGGGAGGGGAGGGGTGTGGGGTGAGGGGGGTGGGGGGGGAAACGAGAGGTCAGCGGGTCAGCGAAAAGGGGGGGGTAGCTCGCACAACGACGACAGCGACAATTTACACGCTTACAGCGCCTTTCGCGTCGAGGCTCTCAGTGCGCGAGCGCACTTAACCCTTCGTGGAAAAAAGAACTGTGAGACAATTAGAATCGAGAGCCCCCAAGGTTTCCCCCTTCTATGTAACGCTTGTGTTAATCAACACGTGGGAGTTGTGGGTGTGTGGGTGTGTGGGTGTGGGGATGACGGGGGGGGGGGGGGGAGGACAGAGGTCACTCACCTCTGTGGCACCGGCTCCCTCGCCACCCTCTGGGGCAGAGGCAGACCCCCGTCACTCGGTCGCAAGAGCCCCCGTGCTCGCAGTCGCACGTCTCCCCGCAAGCGTCTCCGAAGGTGCCGTCTTCGCAAGCTGAGGGAGACAGAGGAGGGTCACCCTGGGGCTCACGGCCGGCCGGTCACGCGCGCGCGCCCGTCGATCTGTCAAGGTAGGGTCTCGCGGGTTCGGTCACTCACGTGTTTCGCAGCGGCGGCCGGTCCAACCGGCCCGGCAAGCGCAGAGCCCGCTCTGCCGGTCGCACGCACCCCCGTTCCGACACCTGCACATTTGCCGGCACTCTGAGCCAAACCTCCCCGGGCTGCACTCTGTCACGGAGAGAGAGGAGAGAGAGAGATAGAGAGAAATAGAAAGAGAGAGACAGAGAGAGATAGAGAGATGGATACAGAAACAGAGAGAGCGCGAAACAGAGAGAGACAGAGAGAGAGATAGAGAGACAGAGAGAGTGCGAAACAGAGAGAGATAGAGAGACGGAGAGATAGAGAGATGGAGACACAGAGAGATAGAGAGAGACGGAGAGAGATAAGAGAGAGACAGAGAGAGATAGAGAGAGAGACGGAGAGAGAGAGAGACACACAGAGAAAGAAGGTCAAATAATTAATTCAATGAATAAATAATTCAATAAACTTAATTGGAGGATTTCTATTATTACAGAGAGAGGGTTAACATCCAATCAGAGGAATTCCCCTCACTCCCACCCCCCGCGCCCCCCCCCAACATGAGTCAGTGTTGCCCTGATGCCGAGACGCAAGAACAACAACAGCAGCAGCAGCGCCTTTCACGTCAGGAGGACGTCCCCAAGGCGCGAGTCCCCGTCGCACACTCACCCAGTTCACACGCGAGCCCCGTCCATCCTCCCGGACACGTGCACTCGCCACTGGCGTGGTCACACGTGCCGCCGTTCTGGCAGATGCAGCGCTGCATGCAGTTAACCCCGTAAAAGCCAGTCGGGCACGCTGCAGGGACGGGGCGGGGGTGGGGGGGGGAAGGGGGAGAAACAACAAATAAATTCATGATCAACAGCGTCCGGAAACACCTGCAGACGAGCCTTGGGGACCGTCCAGCGCGGGCCCGCGCCCCGTTGCAACGCATCTCGCAGGTGGCGTGAACGCGTGGAACACGCAGGTCCCGATCCCGGGAAATTCCGGGAATAAGCCGTTTAAAAAAAAAGAGACGGCACTGAAGGTCTATTTTTTTGTCCCGCCGGGATCTTCTTGCGCTGCTCCCCGCCCGACCACCCCCCCCCCACCCGCCCCCTCGCGAGGCTTCGCTGCGCAGCGCCGTACCTCTCCGACACGCGGCTCCTGTCCAGCCGGGGGCACAGACGCACTGCCCGCTCGCGTGATCACACGTGGCGCCGTTGCTGCAGTTGCACGGCTGCCCGCACTCCTCTCCAAACCATCCTTCCTGGCAAGCTGGGCACAGAGAGAGAGAGAGAGAGAGAGACACACACACCATTTGCGCTATTTCTTAACCGATTTCTTAGCAAGTAACAATAATAATAATCTTTGCATTTGATGCAGCGCCTAATTACGTCAAGACATCTCAAAGCGCTTCACTGGGACTTTTTCTGGCGGACCGCGTGGGATCCAAATCCCTAACGCGGGGGGGGGGGGGGGTGGGGTGGCTTGAGAGCACCCTTGAGAGGGCTTAAGTCACTGGGAGCAACTCCCTCCCTTCTCTCCTCGGGGCCGCTTGATCGGGCGAAGACAGGGAGAAAAACCAGCGCTAAAAAAAAAAAATCTCGGGAGATCTAGAAATCTCGAAAAGTGCGCTCGAGTGGCTCAGTGGCGTTCCGTCGCTCAGGAAGCGTAGCGCTCAGCGCCTATAGGGATGGGCCCACGTTGAGAGGAACCTAACCGCGCAGCCGCAGACATTACAACGACAACAACAACGACAGCCACTTGCGCTTCACGTGGGGCCGCGTGTCGGAGACTCACGCTGATCGCAGCTGCGCCCGAGCCAGCCCGCCCGGCACGAGCAGGTCCCGGCCACGTGGTGACAGAGAGCACCATTGCGGCAGCCGCACCCTCTCCGACATTCCAGCCCGTAAAATCCATTGGGACATGCTGCGGGGGGGGGCGGGAGTGGGGGGGGGGGGGGGTGGGAGAGAGGTGGAGGGGGAGGGGGAGAGAGGGGGGAATGTATCACAGGGTTAGCGCACAGTGTTCAAGACGGATTTAGATAATAATAACATAATTTAAAGAAGAATTGAGATAGAGAGGCATAGGAATCGTAGATACCTCCCTCCCTTTCTCCCTCCCTCATTCCCTCCCTCCCTCATTCCCTCCTCCCTCATTTTTTTCCTTGTTCCTTCCCTTGAGTTCTCCTTTAAACTTCCCAACTGCTTCTGCAATCTAATGACTCTCTGTTCCCCACTCTCGCCCCCCCACCCACCCTTCACCCTCGCCCCAACCCCCCTCCGCACACCGAACCCCCTTCACCCCGGGGATTAACACAGTGACCGGCTGCTGCACGCTTTCCCATGGCGGGGGCGTGTGGAGGTGTGTGGGGGGGGGAGATGCTCGATACTTACGCCGTTCGCAGAAGGTGCCGAGCCAACCCGGTGTGCAGTTACACGCTCCACTGACGTGGTCACACAGAGCTCCGTTCTCACATCGGCAACGGTGGCTGCAGCCTCGCCCGTACACCCCGTCCGCACACTCTGAGGGGGGGGGGGTGGGGGGAGGGAGAGACAGAGAGAGAGGGGGGGGGGGTAAGTTGACATAACCCGGGGGGAGAGGGGCCGAGCGGAGGAGAAAATGTGGGGAGGAAATTAAATTCCCGCTTCTGCGATGGACAACCACAGGCAAGAATGTCTCATCCACACTCATCATCATTATTATTATTATATTATTAAACTCGCTCTGTGCTTGTGGGGACACAGTCAATGTGGAACCTGCTCAGGCTCAGACCGTCAAGCTTCCCCCGTACACCCCCCAACCCCCCACCGCCCCCCCCCCCCCCCTCCCACCACCCGCGACCCCAACCCCCATCCCCCCGCCCCAGCCTCGGCCACTCACTCTGGCCGCAGCGCGGACCGGTGAAGCCAGCCTCACACACGCACTCTCCCGTCACAGTGTGGCAGCTCCCGTCACTGTTCCTGCAGTCGCACGTGTTGGCACAGTCCTGGCCCCAGCGCCCGGCATCGCAGCCTGAAAAACGAAGGAGCAAACTAACTCACGGTCCACAGACTCTCAGCGACCCGTTCCCAGACTTCCCCGCCTCCGATCGGAGACTTTAACCTGAGCTATGCCCCCCCGTCTGTGCCCTATTTGGGAGGGCGTTAAAAGGTCCATTGGGGGGAAAAAAAAAGAGAAGGGAAATTTCTCCCAGTTTCCGCTGTCACATTTGCTCCGGGAGTTAGTTGGTGTCGGGACAGTTCCGAATGTTACCCTTTACTTTAATCGCTGATTTATCCTCACTGATAACCTGGGCGGGAGGTAATAATGAATAATAATAATAATAATCCTCGCATTTGATGTGGCGCCTTATCGCGTCTTCCGAGACGTCTCAAAGCGCTTCACAGGATGTACTGTAAAGTCAAGTGACTGGGTATATTTGTGGGTGAAATACACAGTCAACGGAATAAGACGCTGAAGACACCGAGCAGCCCATCTCCCCACCACCCTCCCCCCCCCACCCGCCATCGCTCACGTACCTCTCCTGCAGTTGTAGCCGGTCCAGCCCGGGGGGCACTCACAGCGCCCGCTCTCCGCATCACACTGCCCGTCGTTCTCGCACGCACATCGCATCTGGCAGCCCTGACCGTAGCGCCCAGTGGGGCAGACTGCGGGGAGGGAGTTCCAAGCACAGGGCAAACGGTCACGCGCGGGAGAGATTTCGACGTCAAGCTCGTCCGGTTCGGCGCTCGGTCGCGTCTTCGCCACGTCTCGAAATCGCCTTCGCCCAACGTGCGTGGTCCAAGCGAACTGACTGGCCATTTTGTGGGCGAAAAGGCAGCAGCCGATCGCGCGCGGCAGCGTCCCCGCAAACGCCGCGACGACACAGAGGAGGGACGGGACTGCATCACATGGGATAGTGTCGCCCCCCCCCACCCCCACCCGACTACGTCACTGGTTCCCCCCCTTTTGAGGTGCGGATCAGCCGTGATTCAATGGAACGGCGGAACAGGCTCGAGGGGCTGAATGGCCCGCGTTTCCCCCTGCCCCCTGCCGCTCCTACTGTTCCCAACCCCGACCTGGAGGGAACGCGGGTACGTACCGCTCTGGCATTGCTTCCCCATGAAACCGGAGCGACAGACGCACACCCCGGTCTCCTTCTCGCACCGGCCTCCGTTCTCGCAGACGGAGCAGATCCCTTGGCAACCCACGCCCCAGCGGCCTTCCGGGCAATCTGGGAGGACCAACAACAACCAAACAAGTTGTATTTGTACAGTGCCTGTCACATCAGGGCAACATCCCCGGGCGCTGGACGTTCAGGAACCCGCACCCGAGCTGGTGGTTGGGATCAGGAGGGGGTGGAGGGCGGGGGAGGCTGGTGGGGCGGGTGACCGAAGGCACATTAGAAGAGGTTCTTGAAGGAGGAGGCAATGCGGAGGGCCTACGGGATGGAGTTCCTCTGCATACTTTGCGCAGGAAGAGCCACTGCGCGTCAGGTCACTTACTGCCCAAAACATGAGCTCAATGGTACTTCCTACGTACAGGTGGAAGGAGCGAACCGGGGGTCGGCCAGTCGTTGGGTCCACATCGATAGCTCGCGACGCTTGCCCTCTCACCTTTCTCGCAGCTGAGCCCCATTCTACCCGCTGGGCAGACACAGCTGCCTGACACGTGATCACACGAGGCCCCTCCGCAGTCGCACACCTGCTGGCAGTTCACTCCGAACCTCTGGTCGAGGCATTCTGTGTCCGAGAGAGAGAGCGCGCGAGAGAGAGACAGAGAGAGAGAGAGAGAGAGAGACACAGAGAGATGTGCAATGTTAGCCACGGTAACACGGGAGACTGACCATATGGCGAAGCCTATTTCCTTACATAAAATAACATGGGAGTATCCTGAAATGTGTTCCTCTCCTCCAAAAAAATATTTCTGGGCATTATCCTCTGCCCCTGATCCTGTGTCCTCGCCACAGGTATCCTTCGATACTTCCCAAATTAACATCAATCTGAATCTCTCGATCCCCTGTTCACTACGAGCCCCCAAAACGTTTCACTCTCTGCGCGTGAACTGTCTCGCCTACGAAAAATGCAGTCACTACACCTTGCAGTGTATCCCGTGAAGCACTTTTGAGACTTTATTTCCTCTTGCTCCCTACGGTCTCCGTCAGTCTCTTCGGACCGACGCAAAAGCTGCTGTGTGTAAGTCGTGGCGAGAGAGAGAGAGAGAGAGAGTGGAGGGAGCAAACCTTTCTTGGCCCGACTATAAAGAGAGTTAACAAACTCCGCAGGGTGGATGGAGGATAAAACACCATCCATTGATGCTTGGCTCAAAGCTTCGTTAACGCCTGGTGTGTAGACAATTTTGTTGGCAAAGTCGCCCCTCTCAAAACAGGCGGAGACGGCCCGACTTCTCCAACGCTCACCCAGCAACAAAGCGTTTTATGTTCATTGTCGTGGGGCGGGTTCACAGGTGTGTGTTTATTGTGGGTTTTTAAACGAACGTTCCAGTGAACTTTTATCCTCAGACTTGCTTTAATCAGCGTCAGGTACCCCCCCCGCCCCCCGTGCACTCTGGAACCTCCATTAGAGGCAGAGGCAGCTCCGGGTGGGAGAGGAAAAAGTACATCAGGGCCAATATTGCGACTCGACAGCTTTTAACGGGGGGAGGGGGGAGGGGTCTGTCTGCCTTTGACTTGATTAACCCCTGTATCCGACACAGCGCCCGACCTTTCTCCCCCCCCCCTCCCTTTCCTGGCTGCCCTCAAACCCATCCCATTGAAACCGTGCCCTCGATCAACAGCCTTAAATTCTCCTCCCTCTCAGCTCTCGCTCCGTGATGCCCATTGATTGAGACGTCGCTCGAGTACGTCGACGTCAGTGGCTCGGCTGAACATGGGAGAGGGCATTCAGCGGAGGCGCGGACGTACCTCGGCTGCAGTTCCTCCCGTGGTATCCGGCGGGACACAGCCTCCGGCACTCCCCGCTCACTGGGTCACACGGGACTCCGTCCTGGCAGCCGCACACGCTTCCGCATTCGACTCCATAGTGGCCGGGGTCGCAGGCTGTGGCCAGAAACAGGAAGGGTCGAAAACTTTGACAACACAACACGACAATTTGCATTTATAATCGCGTCCTTCACACCGGATGGCTCGCGTACCAGGCTCAGGGACAACCTGCCCTTTGGGACGTTTCTTGGTGCGGAAACGAAGAGAAAATGGGGTGAGGGTGATGGTGGGGGGGTGGGGGGGGGATGAGGGAGGAAGCGGGGGAGAAATTGTAGAACCTGGGACCTCACCGCCAGACACCGCGGGAAGAACTTTCACGTCGGACACGTGCTAGGCATGTCGGCACTCACTTGTGTTGCATGTGGCGCCCCGGTAACCGGGCTTGCACACGCAAGCCCCATCCCTCCGGTTACACTCCTGCGTGTTTCGCTGGTCACACCGGCACTCGCTGGAGCAGCCCGGCCCGTACGTCCACTTCGGACAAGCTTGAGGAGAAACCAGAGGACAAGCCCGGTCAGTGACCTGGACCGCGCTGCGCCCTCCGGTGGCCCCCTAATGATCCCAAGCCATCGCATTCCTCGTATTTTGCGAGCAGGTCGACACGTCTCGAGGCACCCGCTGAGTGTAGTGACTGTGTGTTGTTGCAGGCGAACGTGCCAGCCTGACAATCTGGGCGCAGCCACAAACGGTTGAGTTAAGAGGGTACCGGCGACGCGCCACGATGTGTGACGAACAGAGAAACACTCTTCCAAAAAAACACACACACAAACGCGCGCGCCCTCTCGCCCGAACCCAAAGGGCAACTTACATAAATGACAGAAGCGCCCGTACAGTCCCGGGTCACACAGGCAAGCGCCATAGATCCTGTGGCATCGCCCATTGTTGGCGCAGTTGCACTTCTTGTTGCAACTCTTGCCGTACAATCCCTTGGGGCAGCCTGAGGGAGAGAGGGAAGGAGAGAGGGAGGGAGGGAGAGAGAGCATGCAGGTAATAATCAGTACGGTTTAGGAGCGGAATGAGACCATTGAGTCCCTCAAACCTGCTCTGCCCTTCAATCGGATCGCGGCAGGTCTTTCATTTCTCCGCCTTTCGCTCCAACGACGACTTGCATTTTATACGGCGCCCTTCATAACGGGTTAGAGTCTCTGTGCGCTGAAATACCACCCAAAGATCTATCGCTAAGGGCTTCCGTGTTCTAACAACCCTCTTGAAGCAGAAAGTATACAGTTTACTTGATGAGGCGCTATAGCAAACACAAAGATATTTAAAAAGGGGAGGAGAGGGGAAGGGGCATGGGGGGGAATGGAGGGGTTTGTAGGGGTCGGGGCAACGGGCTTCCTGTTACTGGGCAGACATCCCCCCACCACCACCCATCTGTCCGTCACCCCTCCCGCTCGGATTCCTCAAATCCGCTCCGCTGGCTGGGGCCCACGTACCGTCCTCGCACATCTCCCCGCTCACCCCCACTGGGCAGCGACACCGTCCGCTCACAGCCTCGCACGTGGCTCCGTTCCTGCACTTGCACACGAAGCTGCAGTTTTTGCCGAACGTTCCCTCCGGACAGGCTGTAACCGGGGCAAACACAGCGTCACTAACCGCACAGCCTCACTAGGAAGCGGCAACAAGAACAGCAACTTGCGTTGGCGGAGCACCCTTTCTCGGCGGACGGGAGTTCTCGGGAGCGCTTGATGAAACCAGGATGAAGACGGGTCCCCTTCGGCCCCACCTGATCTCAGCTTCCAACTCACTCTGGTTGCACAGGACTCCAGTCCATCCCTCCGGGCACTCACACCCATCCCGGGCTTCACCACAGCTTCCGCCGTTCACACAGTCATCGCAGGTTAAGCTGCAATCGCTGCCGAAAGTGTTGTCCAGACACACTGAGAAAAACAGAGGGGAGGGAGAGTTACAGATAGTCCTAGTATTTGATGCAGCGCCTTATCACGTTGCACAGACATCTCAAAGTGCTTTGCAGGCTTTTCCCATGAAGTGTAGTGACTGTGCATTGGGGCAAATGCCTCTTGGCCTTAGCCTTTAGGTCACCGCCTTGAAAATTTCAAACTTGTCCTGGAGGCTCTTTCTCTCACCGAAGGTCTCTGACAGCGTGTGCTCCCCGCGAGCCTCTCCGTCTTCTTCCTGTGGGTCGTCGTCGAAGAGTTGTGTCAGCTGCTCCCCGTGATAGAAGGTCACCGCGGGGAATGACCCCGGGAAACCGGGACGGCCATTCAGAGCTTCCACCAGGTCGTCCAGGGCTGGGAAGCAGGACAGAGCTGATCAACACAACAGTCGTTTCTCCCACAGAGAGAGTCATAATAATAATAATAATAATAATCCTTGCATTTGGTATGCAGCCTCATCACGTCTTAGAGACGTCTCAAAGGGCCTCACAGGATGCACAGTAAATTGACTGTATAGTTTGTGGGCGAAATGCGACAGCCAATTGCGCACAGCAGCGTCCCACAAACAGTCAGTGGACGGAGTGACCAATTTATTACTGCCACTGGTACGTGGAACTCACTGGGCTGGTGAAATGGTGCAACAGAAATCGCATAAATCTGATCTGTATAAATCGTATAAGGGCCCAAGTCGTATATCCGCCCAAACTCTGTTGAATTTCCTATTATTTATAAGTTTCGCTTAATTCATACTTTGCGTCAGTCATATTCAATGTATGGTCCCAACGGACATGACTTATACAACGCTTACTGTAGAGGCAGAGCCCATTGTGGGTCCGCAGAGGGTAGTATTCACCAAGAGGCTTGGGGTGGGGGTGGTTAGCTAGGGCGGTGGGATTGAATGGACAGCTCGCTTTGAGGGCTGGTGCAGACTCGATGGACCGAATGGCCTCCTTCTGAGCTGCACCTTTCTACGATTCTAACATTGCGCACATTTAGCCAACGCACATCACTGAGAGTTGTGGCCGATCGACAGACAAGCTCCATGGTAATGGACATGGAGGTGAGCGAGGCGACTGTGTTATGATACAAGGCAAAAACGTGAGACACCTCCCTATTCCCCCCCTCACCTGCCCTCCCCTCCCTCCCACACCCGCCGAGCCGCGAGAAGGGAACCTACAGACGCAGTCCTTGCGATTCTCGTCCAACTTGTAGCCGATGTTGCAGATGCACAGGTAGGAGCCGTCTGTGTTGTGGCAGTCGTGCTCACAGCCAGCGGTTTCCAGCTCGCACTCGTCAACATCTGGAAGAGAGGGGGACAGAGCACTGAAGGGGGCGGTGGGGGGTGAGCGGAAGGGGGGTTCAGGAATCAAACATGGGAGGGGCGGGGGACGGCTAGGGTTAATAATCAGGAATCCGTGAGGACCGATTTAAGGGGAAAGCGATATTGATCCTAAGGATAATAATCATCCTCGCATTTGACAGAGCGCTTAAAGTGCTGCGATGTGAAATAAGAACTGCGATCGGGACAGTGGCCGTAAATAAATGGAGCGAGATGTTAACAAGCACGTTCCTGTGGTCAACCGGGTGTCTGACCCTCACGGAAAACCCATCACCGTGCTTAAGAGTATCCAAAACAGAATGAGAGTTCTGCTTACGTGCATCACCTACACACAGGAAATCTGCATCTGGAATAGAATGCGTTCACTCTCTCTCTCTTAGAGGGACATGCACACTGGGGGAGGGGGGCAAACCCAGAGTATGTGCTGTGAGCGGGGTTGGGGAGTGGAGTGGAGGAGGTGGGAGTAACTGCTGGAGTTTGACCGGCTAAAACCACAGAGCTTGCCCATGGAAAGCGTTGATCAGCCACCTTCTTACCTTCACATCTGCAGCCCTCCGGACTGAGCCGATAGCCCGCGTAGCAGCCGCACTCAAAGCCTCCGGGGGTATTGAAACAGTCCTGCTCACAGCAGTTCACACCAGCGTTGCACTCGTCCAGGTCTGCGAGGGGTGACGAACAAGTTAGCGTTAACATCACTGTGTTTCTTTCTACCTACCCTGTGTCTGTGTCTCCTACCCCCTACCCTCTCCCGCCCTCCACCCCTCCTAATCCCAACCACCAGCTCGGGTGCGTGAAAGGCGCTGTACAAAATGTAATCTGTTGTTGTTTCTGCCCTCCACAACGCTCTCTGGAACTGCTTCTCGGAGCCGCTCTGCCCAAGCCTCGTCCCTCCCCACCTGTAAAACAAGGGGGGCTTAACACCTTTCCTTCCTGCATTTCTGGGCTTCCCTGGTTCTGCTATTGCGCCCACTGTTTCAGAAGATCACAAGGTTAGCTTGGATGCGATCTCATCCCACCCGAACATCCCTACTAACCATCCACCCTTGGCAATGCTATGAATAATAAACCTTGCATTTGATATAGCGTCGTTATGGCGTTGAGACATATCAAAGCGCTTCACAGAAATATATACTGTAAAGTGAATTGACTGTGTATTTTGTATTGTGAATTTCGTGGGCGCAACGTAAATGCCATGGTTTCATTAACAGAGCGATGCTGGCTGTAACACATGGTGGATGGTGAGTGAGGGAGGGAGGGGGCGGCGGGGGGTGGAGTGTTGTGGTGGAGAAACATGCCTTTCGGATAATTCACGCAGCCCAGATATATGTGTCTCAGTCACGTTCCCTCAAATTCCCAGCTGGGAAAGGCCGGGATAATAACATTAAATGCAACAATAAACTACAAATGAGGCTATTAATCAATCAGAAAAATAAACCTGAGAGGAGGGGGTGGGTTGTGGTGGGAGTGGGTGTTGAGGGGGAGGGTGGAAGAGTGGAATAGGTGGAAGGAAAAATAACACAGAGAGACTTTAACCCTCGACAGCACCAAACACTGCGTGTGTGTCGCAGGATCTGTGTCAAGTAGGGTAATGGGGATCAAAACTCGGGTGTGTTTAAGCGTACTGTAAAGGGCAGCTACAAGGCATAGGAGAGGGGTGAGGAGTGAGGGAGGGGGAAGTTTTAATGACTCATTCAGGAACATTCCTACCCGGCCCATTCCGAACTTCTTAATTCAAAGCACACGTCAAAACCCTATTATGTAAGCTCTAGGAATGGGTGCCGGAAGGAGGGGGTGGGAAAGGGTGCTGGCTGGCACATGCCACCCTCACCAAACCCGGGGCAACCTATCACCTGGCGATCTGAGCCTTGAGATGAGCGGTTTGGAATCGAACGGTCAAGGAATTCCTTGAGGGCGGTGGGGCTGGGGGAGTGGGGGCGGGGGAAGATTCTCCCATTGGGCCTTTAATGGCAAAGGGCGGTGATGGGGAAGGAGCCCTACCCACACACGTCTTCTGGTCCATGTCCAGGTGGAAGCCTTGGTTACAGCTGCAGAGGGGCCCCCCACTGCTGTGCCGGCAGTGGTGAGAGCAGCCTCCGTTGTTGATCTCGCAGCTGTTGACGATCTCCATCTCGATCCCTGGGAAATCAAAGCCGTAGTCACCCATCAGTCACTGTCAGTCAACGTCATTCCCTGCCAAGTCACGGCAACGTCACCGTCAATTCACCATCAGTGGACCGCGCTCACCCTTACAACCTGCCGTAACCTCAGCCTGGCTCAATCAACAGAGCTTTCGCCTCCGCATCAGAAGGTTGCAGGCTCAAACCCCACTCACCCCTCAACACCCCCGCCTCCCCCGCCAGCCTCCCCACCCCTATCCTTTTCCTCCCATCCCCACTGATTAGAAACCCGAGCAACTGGCTTACTGTAACATTGACGCCCGTCTGCTCCCAGCTCGTAGCCCTGGTTGCACACGCAGACGAACGAGCCCCGGGCATTCTGACACCCGTGCGAGCATCCGGCCAGCCCCACGCCACACTCGTCGACGTCTAGGAGGAAATCACAAAGAGACCAATGTGTCGCTCGTGGGCGAGCAGAGAATTTACTGCGGCCGAGACCGCTCAGTGGGGTCAACCACAACAACTTTTTTCTTTCTTGAACAACTAATTGCTCTAAAGATCCCGAGGCGCTACTCGTAAAGAGAAGGGAGTTTCTCTCCGGGTTTCCTGGCCGAAAACACGCCCCACCCCCAGATAAAATCGGTCACTCACTTCACCGCCGTCGATGGCGATGTTGCCGCGCGCAAACTAGCTGCCCCGTTCGCCTACGAAACATCGACAAGGGGGAGGGAGCCGAGGGGAAAGGGGAAAGGTAGGACCGGGGCGGTGGGGCACAAGCAGGCCGCTGCCCGCTGAACGAAGAGAGTTCTCCAGATCAATCTATTGTACAGGTTCCCGGGACTTTTACCTTCACATCCTTTGCCGTCGACGGCCAACAAGTAACCAGGTCGACACTGGCACCGGGCGACACCTTGGCTGTTGTGGCACTTGTGAGCGCAGCCTCCGTTCCTGTCCGCGCACGGATCCTTGACTGCGGAGAGACGAGAACGCACTTTCGGGCAGCGCACAGGCACAAGAGGGTGCGGGTTCAACACACACAGCCACACACACACACAGACAGAAACATAGATAGAAACATACACGCACACAACACACACACACAGGGGGGCGTCTCAGAGCGCTTGAAACAACAAGGGAGTGGGACAGAACGGAGAGCTGACACAGACACGATGGACCGAATGGCCTCCATCCCTCCGCGCCCTGCAAAGCTTTCTAGTGGCACGGCTGACAAATCATTCATCTTTCATCTGATAAATCATTTCGCAGCAGCCAGCATGAGAAATAAAACACGTGCCTGAACCCTTTGACCCAGTCTTCAATAAAGCTCATTAATCCAGGCGAGGACAGTTAGTGTAAATAACGTTCCATTTATTTGTTCTGATCAGGCCTCCCACCCCCCCCCCCCCCCCCACAACCCCGACGTATGAAAATTGAGGTCAAGGGCTGAGTGTTTATTTTCTCTCCCTCTCGGTGTTACCCTGGGCCTTCTGGGATCATCTGGGATAAGGAACGTGAATAAACCAGGGGTTTAAGGGATTAAGAGGTCTAGTTATCAAGGCTTTTTGCATTGGGACCTGGAGCCCTGAAGCTTTAGCTGGGCAGGTGCTCTCCGCCTGACTGATTGACTGACTGACTGCACTGTGCTTGTCCACAGCTCGACAGCAGAATTTTTTTTTCCCCCTCCACCCTCCCTCGACTCACCCCCGCCCCCAGCTCCATCAGCAAATTTCAGGCACCACACCCCACCCCCACCCCGTTGGGAGACAAAATGTGTGATGTGCGAACACATGCATTGGTGAAAAGGAAAGCCAACTGATGATAGTTAACACATCGCCCGGTGTCCTGGGATGTGTTGTCCACTCTCTCTCTCTCTGCCTCCCTCACTCCTTCACCCCGCCTTGCGGTTGTGTCGTGCCAATACTCACGCTCGCAGTGTTTTCCGTCCTGTTTGAGATGGTAGTTCTGCCGACACCGGCACTGGTAATGTGCCGTCGAGAGCTGGACGCAGTCGTGCTCACAGCCTCCGTTGCTGACCTTACATGAGTTGACGGCTGGGAGATAGAGAGAGAGAGGGAGCAACAGTCAGTCCCACTGCCAGCAAATCAGCCTCACAGATACGCAGGCCTCGCATCGGACTCAGCTCCTCAACCGTCTTGAGGTGCTTCACGAGAAATTGGCGTCAAGTGTAATGACTGTGTGTTTCGTAGGCAAAACACAGCAGCTATCTCTTACAAAAGCCACAGTCATTCCTCTTTACAGTAAAGAAAAAAAATAATATAATAATCCTCGCATTTGACATAGCGCCTTATCCTGGAGTTGAGACGTCTCAAAGCGCTTCACAGAATATACTGTAAAGTGGAATGACTGTGTATTTTGTGTCCCACAAACAGTTGGGGATTGAGTGACCACATTTTTTGGGAGGTTTATTACCAAATTCCGTGAAGCGCTTTGAGATGTCCTCCTGACATGAATAGGGCTGTATAAAATGGGGGGGAGGGGGGGAAGATTTTTGGCCAGGATACCAGGAGAGAAAAACTCCCTTCTCTTTTCCAATAGGGCGCAGGATCTTTGACGTCCACCTGAACAGGGCACAGACGAGATAGAGGGAGGTGGGAGGGGCGGTTTAATGTCTCATTTAAGAACGACGCTCCCAAAGTGCAGCCTGACCTGTGAGCTCAAAGTTGCCGGCCTGGAGATTGAACAGTTTGAGTTAAGAAGGGAGTGTCTACGACTGGCCTACGATGTTGAAACCGTTTCTGAAGGTAAGCCACCGGTTCTCTTCTCCTACGCAGGCGCAGCGCAAAGATATTCCAGGCAGGGCGAAACCTTGGGCAAGTTTCCTTACTCCACACACCTAATAATAATCCCTCCAAAACCAAAAATAATAATAAATTGGTCATTTTCAATCTACGACTGTTTGTGGGACATTGCTGTGCGCAATTGGCTGCCGCGTTCGCCCACAAATATACAGTCAATTCACTTTACAGTGTGTTCTGTAAAGCGCTTTGGGACGTCCTCCCGACGTGAAAAGCGCTATATCAAATGCAAGGATTATTATTATTATTATTATTATCCAGGTTCAGGGAGCAGGTTAGACAAGCTGCCAGGACTGAGGCCATACAGCAGGTAGCTCCCATTAAACAAAGTAACCGAGGAGAGGAGCAAATCACCCTCTGGACTAAACGCCAGCCTCACTTAAGAGGAGCCTTGGACAGCATCCAAGAGAACAGTTCATCACATCAGTTAACTGCTGACCGGATCAATTGCTGCAGTTTTTACTCTGGATCCCGACCAGAATCTGGGTGAGTCTCGCCAAATGGCCATCGCCTCCATGTCCGAGCCAAGTGAAGCCCCATCGAACCGAGGGGCTTGTGCCAACCGCGGCACCGACTCCTGTGCCGCAAAGACGCAGCGGCAAAAAGGCGTGGCGTGATCAACAACAGCAGCAACAACAAATTGCAGCGGCTTTCGCGGCGGGAGGACGTCCCAAGGCGCTTGGAGTTTCCAGCTGTCAAAACGCTGGCTGGCTTTCGGCCAAACCACTTTGCCATAGTTGGCGAGGTGTTTTGCACACACACACGCGCACGCACACGGCTGGTCGGGGGAATGACGTGAGAATTATCACATCGTTTGGTGCATTTTAACGCCAGCGGTGAAAGGCGCAATATCAAACACAAGGGCTTATTATGTTTTTATTCGATCCACCAACTGATTCAAGAGACTTGTGTCTTTTTTTTAAAAAAGGCAGAAGTTTTAGAAATGTTAAGCTGTTACTTAACCAGGACCAAGGATTTGGTGTCGTGCAGAGCAGCGCAATTTTGCCACATTCCACTGCGCTGTGACTAAGTGGCCTGACTTACTTGGCAGTGTTATTTCCCATCTGAGCTCATTCCTGTACTTCCTGGGTTCTCCTGTCCAACTTCAGCAAAACCCACAGGAATTCTGGAACGAATGGCTCAGACAGCGCCAGCACTAACCCCTCTCCCACCCCCCCCTCTCCCCACCCACCCCCCCCCCACACACACACACACACACACGAGGACTAGCAAGAATCTCTGACCCGAACGACAGCAGTTTCACCCTCGTTTTGTTAATACTTAGTTGGAGCAGCGACAACACAATACAATACAAATGTGCCTTTGTAAATTCACTGCCTGCTGCATTTTGCCCACAGAATACACAGTCACAGTCAACCCACATAAATGTATATCCTGTGAAGCGCTTTGAGATGTTTCGACAATGTGATAAGGTGCCATATCAAATGCAAGGTAAACTAAACTAGTTATAATAATTAGTTATACAGCGGCTTTCACGTCAGGTGGACATCCCAAGGTGCTTAATAATTCTGGCTTGGCACCCGAGCTGTGGGTGGGAGCCAAGGGGGTGGGGGACGAAGTGGGGAAAGATGTCCAAAAGTGCAGTCAACAGGTCAGAGGTATCGCTCTTCATCTCCTCGAAATTTCTCCCAGTCTCAGCCTTAAGACCGTTTTGTGCTTGGATTTTTTAATCATGGCCCAGGAATATCCTGGAAAGCAATCTTAATTTGGAAGCCGGTTTAGATCGAACTGCTGGAAAAATATTATAATAAGAGCTGATTTGAATAAGAGTTCAGACGAAGAACGATTCAAAACTCTGCCCGGTCTTGAATCTTTGAAGATTAAGGACTCTTCAGACTTTTAGTATTAGTTTGGACCCAATCCATAACTGTTTGTGTGCAATCAGCTGCCACGTTTCACCCACAAAATATACAGGATGGACATACGGTATATTCTGGGAAGCGCTTTGAGATGTCTGAACAACGTGATAAGGCGCAATATCGAATGCCAGGACGATCATTAGTAATAGCAATCTTTGCGTTTCATACAGAGTCTGTCACCGACTTCACAGGGAACTGCTGTCAGTCACGTGGAGTGACTGTGTAGTTTGTAGCTGAGCTTGCAGCAAGGACCCACAAGCACCCATGAAGCGAATGACCGACTCTATCTGGGGGATTGTCGGGCGATGGCACCGGGAAAGAGAAACTTCTTTCTCTTTTCGAGTAGTCTGGGATCTTTAGAGTAGACTTAACGAATGAAGAACAGGGCAGAGAAGGGAAACGTTAGGGGGGGGGGGGGAAACCTCTGGTTTAATATCTCACCCAAAGCGTGGCACCCCGACAATGAAGGACTCCCCCCCCCACCACCCCCACTTCACCCTCGGCCCCCACCCCAGTACTAGAAGGTAATGCTCCAAATCAGAATCCAGTGTCTCAATCAGACTCCACATGTATTTAACCACAGAACATTCCGATCCGGTACAATTAGTGTGTGCGAAACGCAGCCAGAAATGGCTTGTAAAGTATGCTGGTGGATAGTTCCACTGTGACTTGCATCAGGCTCGCTGGTAATTCAATGCAGAGAAAAAAACAGTAGGCATTTAGCTCCCAGACCAAGGAAATATATTATTTTTAATATAAAAGGCCAAGTAAATGAGCCATATGGCCGAAAATAATCTCCTGGAATGGTATAACTTTGTTTATTGTCGTAATAATTATTAAAATGATGAGATTATGAAAGTCAGGAAGTGAAATAAACAAAGGCAATAAACTGCGGAGCACAATTTCACGTGCTTCAATTTAAGAATCCAACCCCAAAGAGTCATATGTCTCAGACCGCTAGTTGCAGATGTTCGATCCAGTGCCTCTGAGTCAGAGGTTTGTGGGCTCGAGCCCCTACGTCGGGACTCTGAGCTCACAGTCTAGGTTGACTCTCCAGTGCAGTGCCGTGGGTGGAAGGGGGTGGGGGGGTGGGGGGTGCTGTATTGTCCTTCAGATGTTGCTTTAAACCGAGTTTTTGTTCGTGCCCGGCCCGGGGGTGGGGGGGACATTAAAGATCCCGCGGCGCTATTGGAAACGAGGAGGAAGTTTCTCTATCCCAGAGTCCTGGCTGACATTCCGCCAGATAAGTTTGCCATTGGCTTCAGGTCTGTGTGTGGGGGGGACATTGCTGAATGTAATTTGACTGCCGAATTTACTTGACTGTATTTCCCAGTACAGAAGGTCCTTTATGTGGTCAGGCCTGCGGGCCAGGCTTCACTCCATTGCTCACCTGTCACATTCAGTCTCTTTTCTCATCAGTCAAACCCCTTAGATAATCAATACAAAATGCTAATGCTAAGCCTAGTTAAGCCTTTCAATTGCAGCCATTAACTGGTCTCACTCCACGATGGGTGTCAGTCCAAATATGTACCGTGGGGGTGAACAGCGACATGATGTACTCAGAAGTCCGCACGGACAAGTGGCCATTTTGTAACTTGCCCCGGGGAGGGGTGTCTGATTTTATGGACCTAAAGTAGCACATTATAACAGGGTCTGCATGTCTCAGACGCCCCTCATAAAGCCCTCATGGTCAGCTAGATCTTTACAATAATAATAACAAACTTGCGTTTGATACAGCGTCTTATCACATCGTTGAGACACCTCAAAGCGCTTCACAGGATATAGTATGAAGCGGATTGACTGTGTATTTTGTGGGTGAAACCTGGCAGCCAATTGCGCACAGCAGTGTCCCACAAACAGCCGCGGGGGATTGAGTGACCCCAGTTTTTTTTTTCTGAGGGCTTATTACCCGGTCATTCTGATGGAAAACATTCCTGTCCACAATCACGAAGGTGAAACGCAAGACCTCACAAATTAATCTTTCCCTTGAAGAGAAGCAGTTAATCAACAAGCTCATTTATTAGTCTTACCAGCGGATTCCCCCCGGGCCACCTCCTCTCTCCACTTAAATAAGATCTACCGATGAAACCTCTAAGTCTCATTACGCCAGTGATTATTTTTCTTTGCTGTGAAATATCATTCGATACGGACAGACTTCCCGCCGGCCACATTACGCGGCGTCGAGCGGACTGTTACGGTAGCTGGAGCTTCTCCCACTGGAAGTCAGCTGGAAGTGAACTTGACAGATTCAGCTTCGCTCCAACCTCAAAGTTCATCCCTGCGAAGGATCCTTCTCGACACGGCTGACTTTCTGTTCAGAGCTCTCCGCACTGCAGACCGTGCTCAAGGTAATAGGGAAACAATCCCTTCTCTCCTTGGGTCTTCCCTTCCCTGTTCACTCCTTCACTCTGAGTGCTTCGCCACTGTCAAGCTGCCCTTCATGAGGGATGCTATATAAATGTTGTTTTGTTGTTCGGAAATCTCTGCACTTTCACTCTTCCCCCCCTCCCTCACTCATCCCTCCCTCACTCGTCCCTCCCTCATTCACTCTGACCGCCCTCGCTCTTCCCTTTCAAACTCTTCACTCTTCCCTCTTTTTCTCACTCCAGAGGCACCGAGGTAAGGTTCCCTCCCCCGATACTCACTGATACAGGTGCGCCCGTCAGTATGAAGGCGGTAACCCGGGTCACACTCGCAGTAATGCGATCTTTCCGTATTGATGCACGTCTGCTGGCACCCTCCATTGTGATCCAGACACTCGTCCACATCTGCAGAGACACGGGGGTGGGGTGGGCGGGGAGGGAGGGGGAGAGAGCAGAGAGGACACAGTTATCAGCTAGTATAGCATCAAGAGTCACACCCTACTTTCACTCTTACGCAGTCTCGGCACTTGGGCTGGAGGACACAGGTTCGGGGAGAGTGGAGGACACGTTTAAAACAAATTAAAGTGGATAAGAAACATTCATTTCAGCCCGAACCACTGTCTTCCCATACATCAACCACCCAAAAAATTTGGCCACGACTATTTGTGGGACACTGCTGTGCGTAATTGGCTGCCGTATTTCGCCTATAAAATACACAGCCAATCCACTTTACAGTATACACCCTGTGAAGCGCTTTGAGATGGCTCGACGACATGATAAGAACCTATATCAAATGCAAGGATTGTTATTAATATTATTATTATTATTATTATGAGGACAGAAAGCCCAGGGATCCTTGAGGAGACAATGGTTTAACGTCTCATCAGAGGGATAGAGAAGGAACGACAGAACGTTCCGCAGTCAGCAGACCCCGGGCCCTTTAAGAAGCGAGCAAACGTCAGTGTTTCCTCAGCTGCGGGTTTAATTCAGTGCTTATCTGTGAACTCCGGCGGAGAGACAGAAAAACAATCAGGAAAAGCTTAAGGGTTGCAGACAGCAGCCTTGACCTGTGTGACACGGGTAATTATTCCAATAGACATGTTGCCCGATGTCTCTGGAGGGCAACAGATTTACTGACTCCCTCAGCAGCCAGAGGTATCTCGCAAAAGCCGGGCACAATTAGCCACAAAGTATTGCAATGTGTTTGAGGCAAGACAAATGCACTCGGCTCCGGAGAGTCAAGGCCTTACACAGCAGCCATGTCCCATCACCTTAGCCCAGGGGCGGAATGTGCGAATGGGACCTCGAGCTCTGGCGGGTGGGATTAGGGGGTGAAGTGAATTGGCAACGTATTTGGTTTACACGCCGCGGTTGCAAATGAAAAAGAGAGAGAGAGAGAATGAGAGAACGAAAGAGAGAAAAAGAGATGGGGAAAATCGGGGATAAGAGAGAGAGAGAGGGATAGATAGGGAATGTCTACCTATGTTGTCCGCTTTAAGGAAACATTCCCACGACCTGCAGCCACAGCGACTTCCACGCGAAAACAGCCGTGAAGTGAACGATCGATTTAATCTGGGGGATTGTCGGCCAGGACTAGGGGGGAATCTCGGTTTATCTCATCCAAAAGGACAGCTCTCTCTCTCTCCTCCTTGATCTCGACTATCTCAGAACATTACAGCACAGAAACAGGGCTGGTGTTTCTCTGCGTGAGACACCCAGTCGCTACTCGCGCCCCGTTCATATCAAGGGAAGTCTCCTGTTAGCAATTCTAGAAGGTGTGAAGAGCTGAGTGGAGCAACCGGGACTTGAACCCAAAACCTCAGGGAGTTGAGTCTGAAACGACATCGGTTTTCCTTCCACACACACACCCTACCCCACCCCAACCCACCCCTCACCCACCCAACCCACTCGGGATCCAAACAGTTAACACCCTGAGCAGCATGGCAGGAATTCGGTTTGGACAATGTAATAATTCACGAGAAAAATCTAAGCAAAAAAAAAAATCAAAATTAGGAGCAGATGCTTCACATTTTGACAGAATAAAATGTGTTCCTTATTTACTCCTTAATTATTGTAAAAATGTTTAGGGTAAGATTTTGCTCTTTGGGGAGTTGATCGGAGCGAGAAGGGTTGCCCTCAAATTTCTCTTTACGAAGGCGCTGTGAGTGGAGGGTGGGTGTGGGGTGGGGGGGGTGGGGGGGAGATCTTTAGCATCGACCTTAACAGCTCGGTTTAACCTCAGATTGGAATTAAGCTATTTTCCGACTTTAAACGTCAACGGTCTCGCAAACTGAGACTAGGAGGAAACTTGTAGCGACTGGTACGTTTGCAAGAGCGGTCAGGGCGGGGGCCTTCGGGATTAATACACGTGGACAGAGAGAACCAACAGCAAGTCTCCGCCACTATCAAGCGATTCCGGACGCTACCCCACTTGAAAGGCGCTGTCTAAATGCAAGTTGGCTTCAGTTCTGCACGTCAACTGCAATCTATACAGGTCGTAATCAGCCACGGCTCAAAGCAGGTGTGAGGCCGAGAGAGAGAGAGAGAGAGCGAGAGAGAGAGAGAGAAGAGTAGGAGAAAACAGGTGAGAGCGCGAGCGAGCGTGCTTCAGGTGAGTCGGAGCAGGTGTCACAGAAGCTTTACGCACTTCCTCTGCAGAGCGATAACTTGGCCAAACAGGCCTCCACCATGACCCGGGCATCACGAGGCGTGATTCAAGTGTAGTGACTGATTTTCGTTGGCGAGCGCGGCAGCCATTCCGCCCCTTTAAAAACTTGGAATAGGAAAGTTTTTGCTCCAAGACCCAAAGAGGTCGTTTTGCTTTGACGGCACCAAGTGGTTTTAACGAGCTTCAAATGCGCGATTAATGGGGATTGGCTTCAGTTGGGGACATCGGAGCAATGGCCTTTGACCTCTGCCAACTGGGATCAAGTACAGCCATGAGAGAGGCTCTTAAAGGTCTCTTTCTCTCTAACTCTCTCGCTCTGATGATGGAGAAGTAAATGATGCAAAGCGTTTTGGTTGAACAATTGTCCTTTTACCTCTCGGACCAGGGTTCAAACCCAGGTCAGACAGAGGAGAGAAAAGGTTTATTTTTCTCTTGTAGGTTACGATCCAGACCCTAACATCCGGAACTCCCTGGCTCTACCCCTCCGTCTCGAACCCTTTCTCTATCTATTTGCAGGTCCTTGGGACGTCCTCCCGGCGTGAGGGACGCTATAAATGTAATTTGTTGTTGTTGTTCTGCCTCCAAAACCCTACCTCTTTAACCACCTTTATGGTCATCTCCCCCCATCTCCCTCACTCAGTGTCGAGACATCTACAGGTCACTTAGTGGCTGTGACTGATGGTGGACACAGATGCCCAGTGAAAGGACCGCAGGACGAATGCGGAGAGAGGAGTTCGAGGCGATGGGTTTCTGACATCACACCGAACAATATCAAGTCAAGGTGCGAGCTTCCGATACTGAGAAACCCAAGTGAAAGTCGTGTGGCTCATCATGTAGAACCAACAAGGCTTCAAAGAGAGAAGCCAACGTTGGTTGGGCGGGTTCTAAGTTGGCCTTTAAAAGGCTGTTGATTGTCTGGTGGGGTGGGTGGGGGGAGGAGGCGAATGCGGAGAGTGTCAGGGTCCTGAGGTAAGATGGAGTTGGGCTCCAAGTAATAAACGTTCCAATTTCCATCCCTGTAATTCCTCATCGTTTATTCGATCCTCAATCACAGCCAACAAAGAAAACTAAAGCCGAGAGGAAGTCCAAAAACCCGAGCAAGTGAATCTGAACAATGTTCCTTTTCAATTCCAGCGGGCGCTTCCAAATGGTCTTTAGAGACGGGATTAGTTGCTCACGTATCTTCTTTCACCGTGACGGGGGGGTGGTGGGTGTGGGGCGGGGGGGGAACTGTACAGCAAACGCTCTGCTCTCTCTCTTGTCCTGCGGCAACCGGTGGCCACCACCCACCAAGAGATTCGCTCTCGCTTCATTTGGCTGCTCCCCCTCCAACCCCCCCATCCTCCCCCCACCACCCCCCACTCTCTCTCTAAAGACTCACTGTCCTTCTCCTCAAGTCACGAGTCCTCAAAGACGAGCAGAGTTCAGATGAAGACATTCTCTCGCCTGGCGCAACAATTTTACGGGGTCTGTTTTGCGCGGTTCCTGACGAGGGGGTTTCCTACTAAGGAATCCTCGGGATTGACCCACGGGAACGTCCTCCGGAGGACGGAGTTGGTGCCTGTCACGGGCCGGAGTGACAGGCTTGGAGTCACCTTATTTTTGAGCCGCCCGGATTTCATATTAAGAAACACCGCAAATTGGACCCCGGCGACCAGCCTTTCTGTTCTCCATTTGACCAAAGCGGTTTTCTTCCTTCTTAAAACACGTGTGGTTTACTTGTGAGAGCTTGTCTGCCCCCAAGGTCAGCCACAACTGCTCCCTACCATCGACTGGACCGAAATGAACCTATTTATTTCCAGGGCTCAGCTGTGCTGGGACAACATGCGGTCTGAGCGCGTGGCACTAACACAAGACGGTCTTCCAGCCATCAACATTGTTGCCTCCACAGCTGGAGGTAATAAATCCTCCAATCGTTTTTTGAATCTCACTCAACCCACGATTGTCTGCGGGACACTGCCCCGTGCAAACTGTCCTGCCGCGTTTCACCCTCAAAAACACGCAGTCAATTCGCTCTGCAATGCACTCTATCTAACCTGTGAATCGCTTTGCGACGTCTCGAAGACGTGGTAAGGCACTATATCAAATGCAAGGTTCATAATTATTATTATAATTATTAATCCCGCTTCCAGTTCCTGCGTTTGAACTAGTTTTGGAGAACAGTTGTCGGTGTTCCGATCATTCAAACCAACAGTTATGTCAAACAGCTAAGGCTCCTCAAGGTTTGAATGCTACGCCCCAATCTGTAGGACCCCCTCCCTCTACCCTTCCCCTTTCCTCCCCCCACCCAACTTCTCTATCACTCTTCAAGTAACCCCTACTTCTTCGCCCACGCTACGCTCACCTCTCTCTTCCCCCCACCCCCCACTCCCCTGGCGCCGTACAGCGCTCTGAGAACGGCTACGAGACGCGAAGGACGCTTTTTTTGTCGAGGGACGAGGTGCTGTTAGCGTTGCAACGCGCTCAGCATCTTGGAGATGCATGTTTGTTTTTTTAAGACCGATCATTCACTGCACGGCTGGCTGACTGTGGGGATGTCGCTGGGCGCGGAAGTGGCTGCCGAGTTCCCCTGCGGAACAGCGGTCGCTGTGATTTAATAATCACATTGAAGTCATGCGAAGCAGTTTGCGATGTCCGACGACTTGACGAGGCGTTGCATCAAAGGCAACGATTATTTACAGGCTTTGGAGATCGCCAGATAACCTGGTCCGGGCTCGGGAGACGGCTCGGCGACCCG